GCCGATCCGGCCTTTGAAAAGTTCTCCCGCCCCGGTCCTTCTTCGAGATCTACGGCAATCCCTAGTCCCCCGGGCGGGCAACGGCAGCTGGGGGTCGCCCCGCCCTCTGGGCTTCTCTCCGGGCCTCTGCCGAGGAGCCCTGAGTGCTCAGCGTGGCCCCTCTGCTACCGGCAGACAGAGAGTTTTGTCTGCTGCCTGGCGGAGCTCCAGCGCTTCCCCACCGGGTCGCCGGACCCCGCCTTTGAAAGTTCCCCCGCCCCGGTCCTCTCCGAGATCTCCGGCAATCCCTAGTCCCACGGGGCGGGCAACGGCAGCTGGGAGACCTCCGTGCCCTCCGTGTCTCTCTCTGGGACCCTCCGGGCGCCCCGAGCACCAGGCCGGGTCTCCCCGCCAATGGCGGGGAGAGACTCTCCCCGCGGGCTCAGGTGTGCAACTCCAAAGTTTCCCTCTGCGTTTAGGAGTAATTGCGGGGGGTTTAAGTAGGGTTCTGGTCACCTGTTTCCACCGTCGCTCCTCTGTTGTGTTCTCGCTCCTGCCCTAGATGTGTGTGGATCCTCTGGGGGCGTCCGTTGGAAGAAAGCCGCTTGCGGGTACTAGGCTGCCCGTCGGGGTCGGAGAGTTTTCACCTATTTCCACATCCTCCCGGAGGAAAGTCCGTCCGCCTTCCGATGTATAGTCGCGTGGGTGTCTCAGACGTCCTGAGATGCTGTCTGGATATCCTTTGTCAAGCGATAAGTGTCCAAATAATTGTAGACTCGAAGGGCGAGAGACAAAGAGGACTACTCACGGCGCCATCTTGGAATTCCCATCGTTTTTTCATTTACAGAATTTAAGAGGGAAAGTTCATTTAAAAAAAAAAAAAACCTCTAGGGACCAGCCTGGTGGCGTAGTCCTTAAGTTTACATGCTCTGCTTTACTGGCCCGGGGTTTGGGGGTTCAGATCCTAGGTGCAGGCCTAGCACCACTCGTCAAGCCACACTGTGGCCGCATCCCGTATAAAAAATAGAGGAAGATCCACTTTTTGTTTTTTTTTAAAAGATTTTTAAAATTTTTTTTCCTTTTTTCTCCCCAAAGCCCCCCAGTACCTAGTTGTATATTCTTCATTGTGGGTCCTTCTAGTTGTGGCATGTGGGACGCCGCCTCAGCGTGGTTTGACGAGCAGTGCCATGTCCGCGCCCATGATCCGAACCAACGAAACACTGGGCTGCCTGCAGCGGAGTGCGTGAACTTAACCACTCAGCCACGTGGCCAGCCCGTTTCCACTTTTTGACTATTAAGAATAATAATGCTGTAAACATTCTTATACAAATTTTGAGTATTTTAATTTCTCTTTGTATATACAGAAATATTTTCATGTCTTTATTTCTCTTGGTATATACCTAGAAGTAGAATTGTTGGGCCATATGGTAATTGTACATAGAACATTTTGAGGAACTGCCAGACTGTTTTCCAAAGTGGTTGCACTATTTTACAGTCCCACGAGCAATGTATGAGGGCTCTAATTTCTCCATATTTTCACCAACATTTTTTCCTGTCTGTCTTTCTAATTTTATCCGTCTGAATGGGAGTGAAGTGGTATTTCATTATGGTTTTAATTTACATTTTCCTGTGGCCAATGATGTTGGGCATCTTTTCATTTGCATTTTGGCCATTTATATATCATCTTTAGAGAAAAGTCTATTCAAATCCTATGTCTATTTTTAAATTAGTTTATCTTTTTCTTGTTGAGTTTTAATAATTCTTTATATATTCTTGAGACAAGTCTTATATCTGCAGATATTTTCTACCATTTTATGGTTGTCTTTTCATCTTCTTAGTGTCCTTTGAAGTACAAAAGTTTTTAAATTGGAACTCCAAATTGTATATCTTTTTCTTTTGTCACTTGTGTTATTAGCGTTGTATCCAAGAAGCCATTTCCTAATCCAGACCACAAAGATTTATGCCTATATTTTCTTCCAAGAGTTGATAATTTTAGTTCTTGCATTTAGGTCTTTGATCCATTTTAAGTTAGTTTTTGTGTATGATGTGAGGTAGGATCTAACCTCATTCTTTTGCATGTGGATAGCCAATTGTCCCAGAACCATTTATTAAAAAGTCTGTTCTTTCCCATTGAATAGTCTTGGCCTCTTTGTTAAAATCATTAACCATACATGTGAGGGTTTATATCTGGACTCTCAGTTCTGTTCCACTGGTCTATTCTTATGCCAGTAGCACACTGTCTTAGATACTGTAGTTTTGTAGTATGTTTTAAAGTAAGGAAGTGTGAGTTCTCCAAATTTGTTCTTTTTCAAGATTCTTTTGATTATTGAGTGGCTCTTGCGTTTCCATATGAATTTTAAGACCAGCTTGTCAATTTTTGCAAAGAAGCCAGCTGTAGATCAATGTAGGGAGTAATGCCATTTTAAGTGTTCAGTCATCTGATTCATAAGCACGAGAAGTCTTTCTGCTTAAGTCTCCTTTAATTTCTTTCAACAATGCTTTGTAGTTTTCATTTTATGGGTCTTGCACATTTTAATATTAATCTTATATCCTGCAACCTTGCTGAACTCATTTTTTATTAGATCTCTAATAATTTTTTTGTGAATTCCTTAGGATTTTTGTGAATACAAGATCTTGTCATCTGCAAAAAGAGATAGTTTTAGTTCTTCCTTTCCAATGTGGTTGCTTTTTATTTCTTTTCCTTGTCTAATTGCCCTGGCTAGAGCCTGCAGTACATTGTTAAATGGAAGAATTGTGAGCAGAAGAGATACCCTTACTTTATTCCTGACCTCTTGGCAACAGTTTTCAGTCTTTCACCATTAACTTTGATGTTCCTTGATGCTTTTTATCAGGTTGAAGAAGTTCCTTCTACTCAGAGTTGTTGAGAATAATTTTTTATCATGAAAAGGTGTTGGGTAGATATTTTTATGACCATTGTTGCTTTTATGAAAAAATTACTAATTTTTCATTATTAATAATATTTTAGATGAACAATTATTTTAAACAATTTTTAGAATATGCAACATTATCTAAAAGTTTCTAGTCAAATTGTATTTGACAGGTTTTTCAATTTTAATGATTAAAAATAATATTAATTTTTTTACCCTTCCACGTTCTCGCCCCCCCCCTTTTGTTTTTAAATAGGAGTAACTTTATATATGGCTCATATTTGAGTAAAGAAGAAATTGCTTTCTCAGATCCCACTCCTGATGGAAAACTGTTTGCGACACAGTACTGTGGCACTGGTCAGTTTCTGGTATATAATTTTATTAATGGACAAAATAGCACCTAAAACAGATTCTTGCCTACAGTACTAGAAGACATCTGCTGAAGAGAATGGATTGGTTGCTGACTTTAACCAGGAACTAGGGCCATTTTTATTACAATGAACTCAGGACTGGCAACAACCGTAAGGTTGTTCCATTTTCGTAAAATTGGAAACAATGCAGTAATAGCTTATTATTGTTTTGTTTTTTAAAGAAGATATTTTATTATCTTTTACAGAAATTTATGATTGATGTATTTTATCTATAGTTATTTAGACATGTTTACATGCAGCAGATAATTGTTCATAGTGGACTGAAAACTAATGCAAGGACTATGGTCTCAGTGATAAGTATATTTTGAAGTTCTTAATGTGGAAATATACCAGTGTAGCTTGGTACTGTATTTTTTTATATTGATCTGCTGATACCAGTTGTAATTTTAAAGATTGTATTTTCACAGAGCAGAAACCAATGTTTTTGAGCTGTTATTCAAGGAGGGTGCAATATTACATGTTTAGGAATTCAAAGCTAATTCTTAAAGGGCCTGAAATACATTGAAGGAACCCCCACAAAAAAGCAAAGCTCCAAATAAGCAGGAAGAATTTGGAATATTGAGGTTTTTCTTCCATTTCTCTCTTTGTCGTTCTTCATGTGAGGAAGAGGGTAAAGAATTGAGGCTTTCCTTCTTGGAGAGCTGTAAATGACTAGACCTAGTAAGGTATCCTCTAAAGTTTATTAGTCTTTCATTCTGCTTTCACTTTTTAAAATAAATGGCAACTTGGCACACTTAGGCTATTAACAAATCCCAAAGAGGTTTATAAAAACCTGTGGAATAGTTGCAAGCTAAATATGGATGACTTGGTATCTGCTTTGTTACTCCTCAGAAATACTACACTGAGTATATGCCCTCATTACTGGACTTCATTTTGATACTTGTCTATCCTTCATAGTGCCCTCTACTTTTAAAGGGTTTATATGTTGAAAAACTGCTGTGGCCTTTTATGACCTGTATATAATGTAGAATAAAATAATAAAATACTTGATAGCTTTTTCTAAGTGATAAATTTGATAATGGTGTGCTGTCATTGTCCATATTCAGGGAGTTTCTTAGGTTTGACACCTTGAAGTATGATTAAAACACTTGCTTCTTAAAACATAGTTTTCACCAGTTTGCCAAAGGATCAGTGTGTCAGGAACAATTCCTGAACTTTATCTCCAGAAGGCAGAATCCTAACATGAGAATTTTCTGGTCTTTCAAAGAAATAGAGCCACAACCCAAGAATGAAGCACCACTGTGGTTTACCATAGTTTTGTTTATCAGCTGAAATAATCATATCCCCATTAAAAACTGGCTAAAATTTAGGATTTTAAATTAAGAGTGACAGAGAGGTGTACTTTTTATCCCTCTATAGATGTATGCTTTAAAAATTTATTCTGTGGTGTAAGGCTTTCTACTCTTTGTAGGGTGGAACAGTGAGGCAGTATGAATATTTCCCTCTGACTCATCATGATGGTCTGACTTTTGACACTCCCTTTGCCTTTGGGTTTGAGACTGTTCTAGCCATCCCTGGTTTCATTGTTTGCCTGACAGGCACTATAGTTTTTTAAAAACGGTGAAATTTTTGGGTATAGTATAGATGCTCTAATAACTATTAATCTCATAATACAGGTCCAGTTTCCATATAAGCCGTAGTATGCTTCTTTGGGGAGCCAAATTTGGTGGTTTCAAGGGGACCTGGGGTAGAGAGGATATACTGATTGGTTGGTTTAAATGTTATCATTACTAGGAAAACAGTTTTATTTTCATCTTTATTTTGAAGACACAGCCCCTGAAATAACTTTTACAGTCTAGCTATTTCTCTAAGAATGGTTTTATTAATACTGTCTAACATTTGAGTGTTTTCTATGTGTCACACCTTGTATTTAGTGCTGCATTATTTTATTTGATTATCATGACAACCCCGTGAGTTAGAGTTTACAGGTGGAGAATCTGGAACTGAGAAGATAATTAAGAGACTATTGGAGGAGTCTACGTGAAAAATGTTGAAACACTGAACTGAAGCTATGATGTGTGGATGAAGATGAAGAGACAGATAAACTTTGGAAGATACAACTGAAGAATTGATAGGAGTTGATAACTGACCAGAGAAGGATCATGGCAAAGAATCTAGGGTAATTGAAAATTTTGATTTGGGTAATTGAGTAGATGGATTGACTGAGAAGGGAATACTGGAAAAGTATGTTGAGAGGATTGGCTGGGGAAGGATGAGCTCACTTTTGGTCAAGATTTTAAGATGGTTGCAGAATCTCCAAGTGGAGGTACCTAGTTGGTATATATTTTGCTCTGTGGATCTAGAGTTTGGGAGAAGTTAGAACTAAGGTAGTTTATGAATTTAGTTATTTGAAGGTGTTTAGAAGAGATCACCACTCTGGGGGTTGTAAAATGAGAGGGTAGGAGAGAGTTGTGAGGAACAGCATCATTTGAGAGTCTTGTAAGAGAACAAGAACAGAGTGGTAGAAACCAGGGTAAGAGTTTCAAGAATCAAAGAATGGTTAGCACTGTCACACCACAACTGAAGGCTGAAGAGTGATGTTAGAAAAAGAAGAGTGGTCTCTATGGAGTGGTGCAGGCAGTGGACACAATGAGTGTACATTGACGGCCACAATCAGACTTCAAAAGAGGTTGATTTTATAATTGCTGGTTATATAAAGGTGCCTATACATTTTTGTCAGCTGCCCTTGAATTGGTCCATTATAAAAATGTCTAGTTCATAGACATTATAGGAATCACAAGATTTTATGGGTTATGCCCTTGTCTGCATAGACATACAATAGTTTTATTTTGTAAAAATTATAAAAATCAATATTTTATCAGATCATACTATGCAAGAGTGAACTTGGTGTATCTACCAAAAGCATGAATATCATAGAGACAGTAAGTCCAAGAGACATGCAGTGATATTTTAATTCTTCTTGCTTTTACTTTGCATGGCTGCCCAGCTAGGGCATCTGGGTAGCAACACAGCCATATTCCTGCTTAGTGATATTTCACTGTGGGTTAAGATTGCTGAGTGGATTTCTGGGGTAGTAACTGCAGGCATGCATATGTCTTCTACCTATTCTCATGGCTCTTGGGCCTTCTGGCAAATAAAGGGAAGATTCGGTCTTATAACAACAAAGAGGTGGTCAGAAAACAAATTGTTTCTTTTTCTTATAACTTATTTCATCTGTTGTCATAGTCACTGAAGTAGGTGCTTTTCTCAGCTCAGTACTTGACAGTAAAGAGCACAGGGAATTTATGTGAATGGCTTTTTCCTTGGCCTCAGAGGCCTTTCCTGAAATCATCTTTAGTGATGCTTTTTTCAGTGAAGCCAGGGTTTCAGTGTTACAGCAATATTCTCCTAGATCTGAGGAAGCTTCAGGGCCAGTTTCCATGACTACAGAGAGGCCTGAGGAATATTTGTTCCTTGGATGTTGTTCCACCTCTAGGTAGTTGAATATGAAGGTACAGCAGCCAGAGTTTAACAGCTTTTAGTCTTTCCACAGCAGCTCCTTTGGAATATGGCACTTTCTACTTGCTCCTGAATCTGCCATCATACTTACAAATATTTATTGCTCCTCCTGAGGAAATGGCCAGGGGCCTCTGGCCTAGGAAGGTGTTTTCATGGTCTGTATCAAAGTCTGTTATTTTAGTACTCTCTACATAATAAAACTAAAAGCCATTTTTCTGGAATAACAAAGTTATTCTCAAAAGTTAGTAAAATTAGGTAGAGTTTAGAAATAAATTGGAGATTAACACCTTATGTCATACTACATAGTTCTAGCAATCCAAAGTTCTGCTTCTAAGAAGGACACCGAAGTTGCCATCTATAAAAGATTAGAGATGTACTATGACTATTCCTGACATCTCTTTAATAATCATTTCTATGTCTGTTCCATAATTATGTGGAACTCTGCACATGGGCATGGTGTGTAGATACTTTCTATGTGTGTGTATCTTCGTTGTATAAGCTACAGATTTTCATTCAACAAATGTTTATTTACCACTTTCTTGGACTATTATGCTAGAAGAGTAGAATCTTAGTGTCATCCAATCTATGATATGTGAACTTCTAGCCTTTTTTGGACGTTACCAGAGTCAGGGAGCTCATTCCATTTTTGAACATGCCAAAAAATTAGTTTAAAGAAAACAAACTTTTTTTTGGTGTGGGAGAGAATTTTAATACATTCACCAAATTCAATGAAAGGACAAGAACATACTGTAGACACAACTTAAGACAATTTAGAATCATAAACAAAATGTGAGGTAGACTAGTGAAATTCACCAAATTTTGTTTGAGAAAATTTTACAGTAATAAAGTAACACAGGTGCCTCCTTTTCTAAAAATCACAAAAAGCAATTGCATAAATTACAGCCAAAAAAAACTGAATACAACAATTCTCACTCTAATTTTAGTTTACATTCAGTATTAACCTGTGTGAACTGTCATACATGGCAAGGTTCAACAGGTCTATCGGTCAATTCTTATGCAGGCCTAGGGAACACATTCACATCACAGTATTCTAAGGGGTGGCAAGGCTCGAAGCTGAACACACCAGGGTATGGATTAACAAATCATAGTGTCCTGTGCTTGTGCAATTTTATCCTTAAAGAAGGCCCTAACATTCTCTACAGAATCATACTGATAAAATGATTTTAAAAGATCCAAACTTTAGTAAGATAGGCATTGAAGAGAATAGGCAGGTCAATTTGAGTTCTCCATCATTGGGGTGATGATGTTTTGGCTTTATTCTGGCATTTTTCTTCCACAGAGTTAAAAAGTATTTAAGAGATCATAATCATTTGATTTTTCAGAGTGCAGCCCTAACTAATATGAAGTACCTGCATCTAAAGTAACTACTTTAAAAATTTTTCCTTAGACTATGAAACCATAAAGCCAGAAGAAACCCTGAGAGGCCATCTGCCCCAGATACAACTGTTTTAGAATTATTTCAAGTATTTGATTTTCCCTATATAGTAAATATTATTGGAATATTGCACAAACAGTAGGTTTCTTGATATCATCTGCATTAGGCCCTTTCAACAAAACAGGAACAACTGAAATACATTCATATCTAAATCAACCTAGTTCAGAACATACCTCTTTGTCAGAAATTCTGCTGTACTAAAATTGAGTTTTTTTAAAGCATAAGGCAGATCCTCTTTGAAGGACAATTAAAAATGGAGTTTAAAGGAATTGTTCATTTCAAAATACACTTAAAGCATCATAAGTGGCTATATTAAAACCAGGAGATCTGCAAACCATTTTCAGATTAGTACGTTCCATCTTTTCACTAGCTGTAAACTCCCTGTTATCAACGCTAATAAAGCTGGTCAATTAACACTTTGTTCTGAGTAAATGCAGGCTTAGTAGGCCCCTCTCAGTAGTTTCAGGCAACATCGATTCAAGTAAAAATGGCCATCATTTTAAGTGGGGAAAAAGTGGTACGTATGTGCTAATGAGAAAAATGTCAAGAATTTGTTTAATGATGAGAACTGGAGTAATTTAAGAGTAAACTTCCAGTAGTCTTAGTTTGTTCTGGAACATTTCCTATAGTTTGTTCTGGAACATTGCCTAAAAATCTGTTTTTGATTAAAATATATGGTGAGGAATCTGTAGAAACATATGCCCCGTACTGTTGATACTGAACAAACACCCCCTGCTGATACTAATGAGAGAAAGGGACTTTTAATGGAATCTTCCTTACTGCTCACGGAAGACTGACTGGTAGGATTAAGTAAAACAGTTCTCTTTCTCTATGACTCTGTTTCCCATTTCAGCAATTTCTGTGGTGTTATCCGTATAAGGCAGCTAATAATATTCATTCTGTGTATCTTTTAAAGGGCTCTTTCCTTCAGCCTCTGAAAGGAAACAGACTAGTTCCACTCCGCACAGAACTTTAGCCTGACATTTAGCTTTGCTGGTGCCAACTGCTTAATCCCGACTAAACAAGGTGGCTGTGGCTGATTGCTGAAAGCTTCTTAATTGGCTCAACTGTTGAATCAGATTCTCCTTGTACAAGATTAATCACTCTTCCATATTCTCATAGACATGGTGTGCTTATGGAAACCATGAGACTGGAAACATTTTTAAAGAATGGATAAAGCAAAAGAATTTAAGCAAGGAGAAGCTGCATAAATGCACATAATGCCTGTTCTGTACTTACTGAATTGTTTGTTCAGTTTAAATAGTAAACTTTTAACTCTTGTGGAAATTTTGCCAAAAGTTTCAATACATATAAGATTATAAATCTTAAACTAACACTGCACAGAGAAAGACAAAGCTACTTCTTTTTTTTAAATACAAATATCTTCTACATTCTATCATTTCAGACCCCTGAGTAATACTGTACCAAAGTACAGATCTGAAGAGAAACTGAGGGTTCAGGCCTCAAACGTTAATCTTCAATTAATTCCACACCAACGGTGTGAGTCTCATATAAGACATTCAGGCTAGCTAATGCTGAGAGTCAGTTTTCCCCCTAACATAGTTTAGTAGAAAAAACAATGCAAACTCCACGTTCATTCTCCAAAGCAGATTCTCCTCAGGCTCCTGAGGGCAGATTGAGTCTCAATTGCATAACTGCCTAGGGTGGAGTTAACTGAATTTAAGGTCTCAAAATTAGAACTGAAGGAGAGTGATGCCCCCAAAGACCTGGGCTAGATTTGTGGGGGGGTTCTTTGGGGAAGAAACAAATATGTTGCACTTTGCTCCACAGTGATTGTACGTTAAAGGAAAAAAAAATCCCAAATAATTGTTTCTGCCCCACCCCATCTAGGCAGCCCCTTGCTACTTTTGGTCTCTTCAAAAGCTCATACATGTCGTCCAGTAAGAAAGTAGAGGGGCTTGTCATCACTGCTGTTAGCAGTTTGAAACTCGTCCCGGAGGCGGAACTGCCACTCATCCTCTAGCTCTAAGCGGACAATTGTTTGGCGTAAGGAGCTTCTGTCTTGGCAGATGACACACAGGGTAGCACCTTCAGGTAAAAGGCAGAAATGATAAAGGGGTTGAAATGATAAAGAACCTAACACTTCTCTGATTATATCCCCTAAGCTAACATATCTGAGAACCAAAATATAGGTAAGTAACCTATCAGAATTATTCATTTTAATTTTATTATTTATTTTGAATACGTGGTATTACAAGTTCAAAAGTTTAAAAGAGTAAAGTGAAAAATCTCCCAACCACGTCCCCCCTTGGTAACCAATGTTGCGACGTTTCCTCTCTGTCCCTCTAGAGCAGGGTTTCTCAACCTCAGCACCACTGGACTGGATAATTTCCTGTTATGGGCGGCTGTTCAGTTCTTATAGGATGTTTAGCAGCATCCTTGGCTTCTACCCACTATATGCCAGTAGCAACCCCCAGTGTGACAACCTAAAATGTCTCCAGATATTGCCAGATGTCCCCTGGGAGGCACCTTCCCCCCTCCAACACCACTGCTCCAGATGTATTTTATACATGTATAAGTAAATACACAGTATCGCCTGTTCTCATAAAAATGGTAGCATGCTCTATACAATATTCTGAACCTTAATTTTTTCAGTGACCTCAGAGTCATCTTGTCAGGATTATTTGTCATGCTTAATCTGCAGTGTGTTCTTAGGCAAGTCTCTTTGTATGGTGCATACCTATTGAAGCAACTTTAGCTTATGTAGCAAAATCAAAGCTCATTAACCTGACTTTATTAAAGTTAAATTATAAAGAAGTACTGCTTCTCTTCTTGCATTGCATCATTACTTTCTAAAATTGTGGCAAAAACATTTAATGTGGGGGCTGGCCTGGTGGCGTAGTGGTTAAGTTCACAAGCTCCACTTTGGGGGTCCAGGGTTTGCAGATTTGGATCTCGGGCATGGACCTAGCAGCACTTGTCAAGCCACGCTGTGGCAGCATCCCACATAAAATAGAGGAAGATTGACACAGATGTTAGCTCAGTAACAATCTTCCTTAAGCAAGAGAGGAAGAGTGGCAACAGATGTTAGCTCAGGGCCAGTCTTCCTTACCAAAAAAAGAAATTTAATGTGGTCACAAATCTGGCTATTCATCTGCATTTAGTCTTAGTACAAGAATGACTTTATCTCCGTCCCCACCCCCCCCCCCCGGTTAGAATCATTGGCCCTCTTCTAAAAGCAAGGTACTCAATTTACTGGCAAAAATTATTGTTAAAGTATTTTTTTATATCTTTCATCTCTGTATTTTGTCCAGTGGGAGCTAACAGCATTCAAAAGATACTAAATTTGATTTACCTTTTAGAAACTTAAATTTCTTAAGAAGATCAGCACCTACAAAAGAGTCACAGAGGTACAAGAGGAGTCCACTGAAAAACACCCCTTCACAGTTGACATTGCTGGAGTGGGGTCTGGAGCTGACATAGCATATGGCCACCTGGAATCATCAAGCAGAAATAGCATGGGCATTTCAAAAGCAAGCAAAACGTCTGCAACTTTAGCACCTTCCTTTTTAGCTATTTCAGGATAAGGTAAAAGAGAGAAATTTTTTATTGAAGTAAGTTGGTTATTCTTTAGTGTGCCAAGTTTTAACCCATTTAAAGCTTCTCTTGTTTATTTCTAATAAAGGACAGTTATGAGAGAAATTAGTAGTAAGAAGCAAAACAAGCCCCTCCATCTAAGAGTCTTTATAAAAATTTTTTTAAAAATTACCTTCCGCAAAAAGGCATACTTAGGAAAGATTAAATGTTTAGTTACCTGTTGATGAGAATAAGAATTTTTAATCAGCTTTTCATTTAGATACACTTAAATTTTCAGTTGGGTAGAAGCTTCAAACACTGCATGAATTTAAATTTTTAGCTCTGCATGGCTTCCGTGTACAGAAGATAACTTCACAAAAATTACAAGGAATTGTGAATAAGCTAATTGGGAGGCCTTGAGAATGGCGGAATGGCTTAATGTGTGGGCCGGGACCACTTGGGTTCAGGTGCTGGTTCCTCTCTTTAGTAGCTGTGTGACACTGAGCACTTGCCTTGTCTGTAGAGATAATAGTAGAACCTGTTTCATAAGACTGTTTTGTGAATTAAATAATTAATGTAAACCACTTAGTAAGTATTCACTGAGTGTTTGCTGCTGTTAGTGGTCTTGAGGTTTTGTTGTCTAACACATCGAGCCCTGGATCCTGGAGGAGAGGGATTGGGAGACCTGGGTTAGAGACGTGACTCACAGATGCCACAAAAAGCACTATTGTTTCTCATGGTTTTTGAGGTTCTTCTACAACTCACAGTCCAGCCCACAGTGTAGATTATTGAAATATCGTAATGACAATGTAAAATGTTTACACTGTTAAATGTTAATGTCATTTTCCAAAATTGAATACAGTTGGATTTCAGTCTTAAGAGATTGTTTGTCAATACATACAAAGAAAAAAGCCTGGAAGGACATAATGGTACACCACAATGTTATCTTTCCATTACAAGTGATTTTATTTTCTTCTTTTTTACTTTTACTTTATTTTTAAAAATTCTTTACAAGAAGGATATGTTAATGAACAAAAATCTTAAAAACAAAACTGATAATTCTAAGGGAAAGTTTAGTGGCAGAAGCCCTTAAAAGTCCTGAAGGCCACCAGTGGTTAGAAGCCTAAAGGTCCAAGTGGCAAATTTTTTAACAAACTAAAACTGATGAGACAGAGAGTAGAAAGAATGAAAAATAAGGAAACAATGGAAAAGAAAGAAGTCCAGGAGTGGAAAGTGTAGAAACAACAGTTATAAAGGTCTCCTGTGATACCCCAAACTGTTCAGCAATCACTGAGCCCCTCTTATATGCCTAAACCAGTGGCTAAGGCATTGTGTGCCCCTGAAGAACTCACAGTCTTGGTGAGAAACATCATCTCGTGATTACAATATCGTCTGTTACACGCTGTGACAGGGAGGAGCAAGCGACTGCTTCTGCCCAAGGTCACTGAGGCAGGCTTCTCAATGGAGCTGACCTCTGAGCTCAGCTTTGAGCGTTCATTGGCTCATTGTGGAGGGATGAAATGTAGGTATGGGGAGGGAGAGTTGCCATCATATCTTGTGTGAGCCTTTGCATAAGTGTGTCACAGGCTCGCTCCTTTTTTGTCTTCATTTAAGCTTTCAAATGAGAGCTAAAATGGGAAAGAAATGGATGGAAGTGGGTAAAGCAGAGTACTAGCCCCCTTCCCCTTTACCTCTGGTCCAATGTTAAGGTAGCAGTCAATGGCCAACACAGGACTCTTGAAGTTATGGATAGCTTTGGGGAAGAGTTTGTATGAGGCATGCTGAAGGAACTTCTCCAGGAGAAACTGCGCAGGGGCTGCCAGTAGTGTGTGTTCACTGTCGGGAGCACAGACATACTGAAGGGGCAAGATGGGTGCTAAGCTCTCTGACACCTGAAATCAGAGCCGAGATCATCATGGGAAATGTTGTGTCTGTCAGTCACTGGATGAAACTGGCAAGGAAATGCTGCATTGCATCCTAGCAGTCCCCAAATAATAGCAGTAGCACAGTGCAGATAGGCTCAAATGTAAGTCTGCCATTCTTGGGTTCTGAACTCTTTTTTCACTTGGGAACAGTACACTTGGGGCTAATAGAACTTATACACAGCAAGGGCAGGAGAAGTTGGAAAAGTAGCCTTCTTTGAAAGTTACTGCATTTAGCAAGTACATTGTGAGGACCAACAGGAACCCTTTTATATGGCTCCTGGATATGTATGGTTAAATTCCGTCCCGTCACAATCAAAAGTAAAAAAAGCAAAGAAGTTTCTAAGCTCCACTGGGGCATCCACATGTTATAAATGATTAGATACTAGTGAATCTCTTAAACAGAAAAGGCTGGTAGGCCCGTGGAATTCACCCTTAATAGGTTTTGATCTACGTTACTCTTTTTGCCAGATTTTTTAAAAAAGACCAGATAAGCATCTTGATTTACGTTTCTCTCATGTTATCATAGAGAATGTAAAAATGTTAACTCTGCCATCTTACATTACATAAAGAATGTAAAGATACTAACTTTGCCAGTTTAAGACAGAATGTTATGTTTGAAACTGAAGCTTTGATGGAGTTGTTCAGCTTTAAATCTGAAGAAAGGTAATTTTTTTAAATTTCAAAACTTATGTTTGGTTCTAGATGAGTCCTCAAGGAAGGAGAATGAGACTGCAAATTTGACACTAAGAATTGACTCCCTGTGTTACCTCACTTTGCAATCAAGTGGCAAGTGCTTAATGCAAGTACCTAATAACAAAGATACTAATAAGAAATCATTCTCTTATTTTCAAGAGTAGGATCAAGCTTGTAAACTTACCATGATCTTTGGTTTAATGATAAAATCCCTTTGCCCTCCAACCTGAACATGTTTCTTCATGAGACTGAAGTTATTAAAGCGGCAGATGAGCAGTCCACTACTATTTGTTCTCAGGTTAAAGTCAACATCTTCACAGAAATACCTAAATCACAACCACAACGATAGATTTGACTACCTGCCACATCTCAACCACGATAATTACACATAGAGAAAGGTGTGGCAGATGTCAGGAGACAGACGCAATCAGAATCGACCTTCCGCCTTCATGGAGCTGGTCCTCTTAACACTGGTCTGTGAACTTCTTGATTTGGGCATTACAGCCATTAAAGGAAAAAGGAGGAAGGAAGTGAGGTGACTTCAGTTCCAGACATTCCACAGGGCCTTAGGCATTCCTGAACTGAAATAGGACTGCACATTCTATATGCTCTTGTGAGACAGGAGTGCAGATGTGCTTCTAGTTTTAAAATCCTGGCTGTAAACAGGATGAATTATCTGCTAAACTGAAAACACAGAATTGAAATAGCTACAGAATAGTCTAATAGCTACAGAATATTCTAATAGCTACAGGTTTGGGTGTTGACATAAAGGGACATTTGGTCCCTGACATTCTTCCTTGGCCATCTCAGATTTTCTAGGATATGGACATAATTTATTCAGGAGGTAAGGCCAGGGCTAGCCTGCTCATTCCCATCTGCTGGCTTTTCCTACAGGATCCAGATCTCTGGGTTTTACTAACATTTGGAGAAAGTGGTTACCTTTTGAGTTCTGAGGGTGAATTTAGGGTTAATCTTGAATGGGTTTATGGATCCACACACTGATTTGTGTTGATTCAACAGCTTTTGTCCCTGGTTTAGTTCTTATTGAATAATGAGATGGTTAAAATGTTTTCTAAGCATTTCATGTTACAACATCTATTACTAAGGGTCTGGGTCAGTTTGAGGGGTGATGAAGGGGCTCTTTGGGGTTTGTGATTCCCCCCTTTCTCCTTGTCCATATAAAGAGATTCTCAGTTTCTCAATTGTAAAGACACAGAGAGGGAGGAAAAAAAACATTACAGAGGCTAGAGCTGGGCAGAAACAATCAGGATATGCTAGGATTACTTGCATCCAGGAGGCCTGACTTACCTGTTGAAGTCATACTGCACATTCTGAGTCAAGTCTATGTTGAGGAGAATGAAATCGTGCACATGGCACCTAGAGAATGGGGCCTTCAGGCTCTGAGAGGTTAGTTTGTTGCTCCATTTCTGTATGCCCAGGATGGCGTAGTGGACGATTTTTGGTGTTGCTTCAATATGCTGCAAGACACTCTTCAAGGACACATTCTTACTGGAAACTCCTGCTTCCGTAGGCTGGCTATGAAATGTAAAGTTAGTTTTATATAAGATATCAATTAATATTACTGAAGAGAGGGTCATTTATGAAGGGCCAACACTGCTATACAGTATTAATATCTGTAACATGTAATTAGCTGATTTACTTTATATTAGTCTGGAATGGAGATGGATGTCAAGCCCAGTTTTCATGCTGCCTGTCACTGCTAACTTAAGGAAACTGCCTTATGGGTGTGGCCCTTATCACTTTAAGGCAGAAAATGACATCCAGCCCCTGTTTCAAAGTGAATAATGAACAGGGAGTTACCAAAGAGAGGTAGCCAGAGGTCAGAAGCACACAAGCATGCTTCCCAATTCTGGTAATCATAGTATAATAAGGAAAATTTGAGAACTTAACAGGCTTCCACTCCACCTTGGAAAGAACGACACAAAATCAGTGTTTGAGCTGGAAGGGCCTAGAGATCATCTGGTACAGAGTTTCAGTGAGGATGCTATTGATATTTTGGGACCATTTATTTCATCACACTTTTCCAGGTTTAGCATTTCCTGGTCCTCATGGACCCCCTCACCACTGCCCCAGGAAGAGAACCACTGATTTCTGGCCTGCCCTTAATTTTACAGGTGATGGAATTGAGACAGAAAGGAAGTAACTTTCCCTTTTCATCCAGATAGTTAAAAAGCAGAGCTGGGGCTAAAAAGCAGGTCTCTTGATTCAAAGCCAGTGGGCTTTCTAAATCATAGTGTCTCTTGACAGACTTGAGCTAACCAAAGCCATGATGCAAAAATAGTCTGGGAATTTAATGGCTTACTGAATGTCTAAATTAAAAAATTCCTAAGTCATCACAAAATGTGTTAGGGTAGTCTCATGGATGATTGTTTTGCTCTGGAAACCTGCCCCTCTCTTTCTTCCGTGCATAACTACAGACAGGGAAAGTACCTTTTCTATGGCATTGTGCCATACTCCTCTAGAACTGCTTGGGAAGTACACTACCTGCTCTGCTCCTGAACACTGTGAATGTTCCACAGGACACATGAGTCATCCATCACAACAATGAAAGGCCAGACACACTGGCGTTTAACTCCCAGCTCTTCCAGGCGGTTCCTCTCCAGTTCTAGGTTGTGATATGACAGCTCCTTAATGAGAAACCTGGCAGCACCTGGAAGGCAACATAACCACAGCTTGCACATCCAGCACTCAGGCTTGGCTGAGGCCCCATATACAGCTCATCTTCTCTCCACAGGCATGCCAGTTCACATGGTGACCATGCAGGCAGGGGTCTCTCATATGTTCTGAGCAGTGGTTCTCAAACTTCAGTGTAGATAAGAATCACTGAGGAAGTCTGTTTGAAATGGAGATTCCTGGAGCCCATCACCACAGATTCACAGACCTGATGAGGGGCCAGAAACCAGAGATGTCTTTGGTGATGCAGGTGATTCATGCACTACACTTTGAAGAGTACTGCAAGAATCCAGTTCCCCTGATACAACAAAGGATACCACATAGAGGAAATGCTTCTTACTGGTTAGATCCTTAAAGCCATGATAAAAGGCTCTCTCAGTTTCAAAAGCAGCCACTCATATATCCTACTCTAGGGCATAGCCAGGGATACAGTAAATCAGTATGCTGCTTACGATAATGTGTCCCCTGTTTTAGATATTTTTTAGGAAATTGGCAGCAGGGTCTTTGAAGATGATTCTGGAAACTGGCATTCTTTCCCTAAGTCTACTTTTTTGTGAGAGGCAATATGGTATAGTGAGTAAGAGAAGACTGGAGCCAAGCTGCTTAGATTTGAATCCTGATTCCACCACTTCTAGCTGTGTGACACTGAACAAGTTAACTCCCCTGTGCCTCAGTTTCCCCACCTGTAAGAAGGTGATGATAATGTCTACTTCATAGGATTGTTATATGGTGCTCAGGATAGTGCCTAGCACATGGTAAGTATTCACTTAGTGTTAGCGATTATTAAAATGATGACCATCAGGAATTAGCCAAATTTATGAGTAGGCTACCCTAAAATGAAACAAAATGTAGGTGATAATGAAATGAAGAGGCTAAAAAAGCTATTAAGTCTATGGAGGAACCAAGAAAACAGTTTGAATAGCTCAAGGGTAATAGTAAGAGTTAGGAAAATCTACTTTCCAAGAGCATGTGTGTAACAGTTTGCATTCTCAACATAAGGGCCATATATGAAAAGCCCACAGCTATCATAATGGTGAAAAACTGAAGACTTTTCCTCTAAGATCAAGAACAAGACAAGGATGCCTACCTTTACCCCTTCTATTTAACATAGGACTGGAAATCCTAGCCAGAGCAATTAGACAAGAAAAAGAAAAGGCACCCAAGTTGGAAAGTAAAATTATCTCTGTTTGCAGACATGATCTTATATGGAGAAAATGCTAAATATTCTACACACAAACTGTTAGAAGTAATAAGTAAATTCTGCACACAAACTGTTAGAAGTAATAAGTAAATTCTGCACACAAACTGTTAGAAGTAATAAGTAAATTCAGTAAAGTTACAGATTAAAAAACGACTCAAAAATCAGTTGTGTTTCTATACACTAACAGTGAACAATGAGAGGCCAGCATGGTGGCATAGTGGTTAAGTTTGCGTGCTCCACTTCAGTGGCCTGGAGTTCATGAGTCTGGATCCTGGACACAGGCCTACACACTGCTCGTCAAGCCATGCTATGGTGGTGTCCCGCATACAAAACAGAGGAAGGTTGGCACAAATGTTAGCTCAGAGCCAATCTTCCTCATCAGGTAAATAAATAGGAAATTAAGAAAACAATTCCATTTACAATAGCTTCAAAAAGAATACTTAAGAATAAACGTTTAACCAAGGAGGCTAAAGACTGTAAAAAGTACAGAACATTGCTGAAAGAAATTAAAGAAGACACAAATAAATGGAATGACATCCTGGGTTCATGGATTGGAAGACATAATATTGTTGAGATGTCAGTGATACCCAAAGTGATCTACAGTAATGCAATCCCTATCAGAATTTTTTTTTTGAGAAATAGAAAAATCAATCCATAAGTTCATATGAAATCTCAAGGACCATGAATAGCCAAAACAGTCTTGAAAAAGAACAAAGTTGGAGGTCTCACACTTGGCTGATTTCAAAACTTACTACGAAACAAATCAAAACTGTGTTAGTGGCATAAAGACGGACATATAGACCAATGGAATAAGAATATAGAGCCCAGAAATATACTCTTGCCTGTATGGTCAAATGATTTTCAACAGAGGTGTCAAGACCATTCAATGGAGAAAGGACCATCTCTTCAACAAATGGTGTTGGGAAAACTGTATATCCACATGCAAAAGGATGAAGTTGGACCCTTACCTTACACTACGTAAAAAATTAAAATGGACCAAAGATCTAAATGCAAGAGTGAAAAGTATAAAAACTACTGAAACAGGGAGAACGCTTGATGACACTGGATTTGGCACTGATTTCTTGGATATGACACCAAAAGCACAGGCAACAAAAGAAAAATTGGACTACATCAAGATTTAAAACTTCTGTGCAAAGGACACAATCTTCAGTGAAAAGGCAGCATACGGAATGGGAGAAAATATTTACATATTTTCTGATAAGGGGTTAATATCCAGAATATATAGAGAACTCCTACAAATCATCAGCCAAAAATCCTGATTAAAAAGTAGACAAATGACCTGAATAGATTCTCCAAAGAAGATATACAAATGGCTAACCAGCACATGAAAAGATGTTCAGTATCACTAGTCATTGGGGAAATGTAAATCAAATCCCAATAGGATACCACCGCACACCCATTAGGATGGGTGCTATCAAAATCTCAGGAAGTAACAGGTGTTGGTGAGGATGTGGAGAAACTGGAACCATTTTGCATTGTTGGTAGGAATGTAAAATGGAACAGCCATTATGGAAATCAGTATGTCAGTTCCTCAAAAAATTAAGAATTATCATGATTCAGCAATTCCACTTCTGGGTATATACCCCCCAAAATTGAAAGCTGGGTCTTGAAGAGAGATTTGTACACCCATGTTCATAGCAGCATTATTCGCAATAGCCTAAAGGTGGGGAGTGGCCCAAGTGTCCATCAGTGGGTGAATGAATAAAGAAAATGTGGTTTTATGTATACAGTAGAATATTATTCAGCTTTAAAAAGGAAGGAAATTCTGACACATGCACATAGAGAACCTTGAGGACATTATGCTAAGTCAAATAAACCAATTACAACAGGACAAATACTGCATGATTCCATTTACATGAGGTACCTTAGGGTAGTCAAATTCACAGAGACAAAGTAGAATGGTGGTTGCCAGGGGAAGGGTGAAATGGGGGAGTTAGTTACTAATGATACTGAGTTTCACTTTTGCAAAATGAAGAGAGTTCTGGAGATTGGTTGCACAACAGTGTGAATATACTGAACTGTCCACTTAAAAATAGCTAAGATTGGGCCAGCCTGGTGGCGCAGTGGCTAAGTGTGCACATTCTGCTTCGGTGGCCCGGGGTCCGCTGGTTCGGATCCTGGGTGCAGACATGGCACCACTTGGCACGCCATGCTGTGGCAGGCGTCCCACATATAAAGTGGAGGAAGATGGGCACGGCTCTTAGCTCAGGGCCAGTCTTCCTCAGCAAAAAGAGGAGGATTGGCAGCAGTTAGCTGAGGGCTAATCTTCCTTAAAAAAAAAAAATGGCTAAGATGGTAAATTTTATATGTTTTTTTACAAGTAAAACATTAAATAATTTGCGTTTAATTCATTGGCATATAGTCTTCTCTCTTCCCAAATTATTGCAAAAATGGCTAAACTGGCACTAAATTTCAGTCAGATCTGGAATGAGAAAACTTTCTTCTCAAGGCGAGTAAGGCACAGAAGGGTGTAATTGAGGGTCATATTCATATGGAAAAATATCTTAGTTCCTTTGGGGATACGTGGTTTGGGGGAGGATAAAGGACCAGATACATAAAAGTCTTAATTCACTTGATATAAAGTGATAAACATGGAAAATAAAACTACATTCAAAAACAATAAACCAGTTTTTGAAAATACTTTAATCCCATATTGAGGCTAAGGTTTAAGAACATGAAAAGGAGTGGAAGGGAGAAAAAGAAAGGAAGAGACCCAAAAAGGAAAGGAGAGCGATGAACAGAATGGAGGACAGAGAGACAAAAGCTAAGTGAGGCAAGTGAGAGACCCTGGAGACAAAGACTCGATTTCAGGGAAGCTACTCAGGTCTCATCTGTTCAGCTCTGGGCTGGAAGGTCTTCCCTCAAAAGTGTCAATTAGCAGTTCTTGATCCTCAGCCCTTCTGAGACTCTGCGCTGAGTCAGACACCCACAGAAGCTGATGAGAACAATGATTTAGAAGTACGATGAAAGAAGTAGCCAACTGTACAGCTCTAAAACACGGGATGCAGTTCGAGGTTTCCTGCCTGAGTAAGGTAAATGAAGGCGTTCTAGAGCTCTCCAGTGCCTCCCACAGCTCTGTCAACACGCTCAATGCCCATGTGCCCGCTTTGAGAAATCAGCCCATTGCTCTTAAACGCACTGGGGAAAGGCAGGAAAGACCTCTTCCAGGCCCTTCTAAGGTGACTGCCATAGGCAGTAATGATGTTTCCAATTCCCGGTTGTACAGAACCCCCTAGAATTTGCCGCATGCCTTTAAGATTAGCAAAGACTTGGGGACCCCTCCAGTTGGAGTGAACTACCACCTCCCCTCCTCAGACCATCCTTGTCACTGTCACACTTTTGCTGCCAGCTTGCCCAGTCTAGGAACATTTTTGGTCTATACTGGGACGAGTCCCAAGCCTTTCCCAGGATGCTCAATAAACCAGTGACTTCTTTAGTTACTAGTGTCAGGAGTTAAAAATTCTGCAAAACTGGATAAAAGAAAAAGAAAACTCAAAGAGGAGTCGAAAGTCCTTTGGTCCAGAGGAAAGGACACTTTGCAGAGGCAGGGGGACCTTTGCAAGTTTCATGCCTGGGGAATGGAGCTCGGTTTGTCTTTCAGCCCTTCTCCCGTCCTGGGGGCCGCCTTACCCACGCCTGCATTATTGAACATGCCGGGAAGCACCAGCATGATGTGGTTGGGCCAGTACTTGCGGTACAGCGGCATCTCATATTCTTTGACTACCAGAAGGTGCAGATGGCTGATGCCCTCCATGGCGTGAAAAAGGTTTAAGAGTCCATGCTCATGGCGACCACTGGAAGGAGTGAAAATAGGGCTCTTGACTGCATTCAAATTCTGCTGAAAGGGAAAAAAAAAGAAACAGACCAAAAAGAGAAGTTTAAATCCTTAGATACAAGAAACTTAGAGAACCTGATTTAGTACCTGAGGTCTGTCAGTCCATGTGTCCAGACACTACCACCCACCTTGTCTGAAACCAGGGGCAGCCGCATGCTCTCCAGGTGTTTGCCCTGTTTGCTGAAGACAAAATGACTCTCTTTGGATTTGGGAATGATGAAATAGAGCTGCACTTCTTCTCCCAGCATAGAGGAAGAGAATGTGAATGCATGAAGGGTGGAGTCGGACATCTACATTTGCAAAAAAGAAAGGGAGGGAATGTAAGCCCAACGTTTGCAAACTTCCAGGCCACTTGTTAAGTCTGTTAAGAGAAGCAAACTAACCTGAACTTACACGTGCCACCATACCTGGTTGTACGTGCAGTGTCAAACAGGTCGGAAAGGCAAACTTCATGTTTTAGTAGATGCCGCTGACATGAGAGCCAAGCATCTTGCCGCACCAAAGCCTCTCCATGAGTGGAGAAGCACCTGTTGCTCAGCACTGCCTTTGCATTCCTCATGTTCTTCGAGCCACTACTGCCTGGTCTTACAGAGGTTAAATATGCATATGGATGTGCTGCTGTGTACACGTTCCCAAAAGTGCTTAGTTACAGGGGGAAAACGCTTCTGTTCTATGTGGGTCAAGTCAAATGAATTGAATATGATTTTTCTAAGTAAAATATTAGGACTGACATCAGTAAGATGCCTCTTTGGCCCCATCTTTCCTGGCAACAGTGGAAGCTGAAAAGTTTTGAACAGTCATTTAGCCTAGAATTTTGGCTTCCAGGAGAGACCATTCGACTCACTGAAGCCAAATATAAATCTAACATTTTTTAAATTGCTGGGAAGTTCACATGCTCTCTCAGTAACCCATCTCAGTGAACAGTTACATAAAGGTCTTTACATGCTTTACAATGCAAACAATATTTGACTTAATAAAAGGAGAGCTATAAGTTTCCAGCAGCAACTAGAATCCAGGTAGGCTTCCCAAAGGTTTTAACCTAAATATTACATTTCATAGAAAAATAATGTAATTCTTCCACTAAATTCTGGTTCGTTCTGCTTCACAAGACTGGAAATATACTTAGTGTTCTGTAACCACATGGCAACTATATAAATAGAGGATTTTTAATAAAGAAATTTTCTAAAAACCTATGATTGATGAATTGGGGAACTTGAATCCTCTATATTCTGTAAAGCATTGTGAGCTGATTTCAGACTAGCCCACTAAAAGTTTTCAATAACACCAATAAAACAAATGGGATATAAAAGGAAACTTGTATTAGAAGGGCAGAATGATCAATCCAGGTTTTCAGTCTATCCCTTCCAGTACCTGGGGAAAAGGATGAAGACCTGGTTCTCAGGAGCAGACGCAAGTTTGGGGCAAGTCAAATCAGCTTATCCTACGGGAAGGAAGAGTTGTTCTGGGTATTCAGAGCTAAGTCAAGAGGATAAAGTGAGGGAAAGTGACATGGAACTTATCCGAAAATAAGCACTGGGTATCATTTGCTGTCGTCCCCATCTTTTGTGCTTAAAGATGCTCAGACCAAAAAGAAGCCAAATTCTTGGAGGTACTGGCTCACCTGTGTTCCTACCTCTCAGTTCTCTATAAGTAAAAGAGCAAACACTGACTCCTCTCTGTGCCCAGTGGTCAAAACCATTGCACGCTGGAGTAAGAATATGACTAGGTCGGTGAAGATCAACAGAGTTGCTCACAGCTCAGAGGGCACACCCTACGGATTTGTTAGATCACAGCACTATTTTCGACAACAACCCAAACGAGGGAAAGACCCTTTTGCCAAGTAAACCATAATAAGCAGTTTTTTCAGGATCACAGATAGACATCTCAGCTACTCTCTAACCTAAACATGATACATGTAACCATTTTATGAAGTGACTTAAGACACTAAAACTCGAGTTTTTTTCTCTGTCTTCCCCTCCCCCTGCCCATAATCCTCATAAACCCAAAGTAATTTTAATTGCTTCCTGCATTTTGCTCACAAATGAGTGGCTCCATCTCATCCTAGACAAAGCTATCCTTTGTCTAGGGCCTGGACCTGGGAGCCTTACTTTTCATTCCTTACATACAAAATCCATGTTGGGTAAGAAGCAAGGGCAAAGGGGGCTGTACCTGAGAGGTAGCGGTGAAGTCCATGTACTGGTGGCACTGCTCACAGTGGTGGAAGGTGTTGTAGGCCGCATATTTGGTCAGCATCATGGACACAGTTTCTCGTTTCCTGGGCTCCTCAACTTTGGATTCCTTTATTGCTTCTGTGTATAAAGGGGCAAAAAACCTTCCTATGATATGCATGAAGCCTCTACATCTGGGAAGAAAGTCCCCTACTTCCCGACAGGGCTTTTCCAAGGATTCTACGGTTTAATCCCTGAGAAGTAGGTAAGAGAATTTACAAGGTGACATGTATGGGTGTAAGAGAAGAGGAAAGTAAAAAGGAGAATTACTGAAGCTGCTCTCAAAGATTACACCTCCCCAGGCCTCCTGCCCTGATTTAGGTTCCCCTTGACCTTCAGAGGAGGTAAACCTGGTTCCACTTGCACTGACCTTGTTTGACCCCTGCCAGCTTCTCAGTATATACCAGGCTCATCAAACTGTACTTGGGGTCGTGCACACTGACGTCAAAGGGCATTTTACTGAAGCTCTCGATGTCAGGCCAGGGCTCTCCCTCTGACTGGCTCACTTCACTGCTTTCACAGTGATCTAGGACAAGAGGAAAGAAAGTGTGCAGAGCAGGCTGATTGACCAGTCTCCCAGCCTCCCTCCCAAGTGTCAGGGATGAAAGGTTTTATGAAATAAAGCCCAGACGGGTGGACAAAGGCATTTCTGAAAAATGTCCTCCCATGTCCTAGGGTAGAGGGACCCAGAATTGTCCCTCAGACCCATACTGAGAGGGATGCCTGCCCTCACTGGCCCCCAGCAGTAGCCTCCACAGATCCAGTCCACAGACTCCCACATACACAAGGATCAACTGGTCTCCCACTCCAGCTGCCCAAATTGCCTTAAAAGTTTAATTTTAGATTATCTCAATTCTAAGAGTTTTAGTTGTGGGGTTTTTAAGACTGACAGCCTGGAAGATTTTAGACATGCATTGAGCAAGATTCCTAATGCCTGTTGCATATCCGAATCACCTGGGAGCTTGTAAGACTCCCCGTGCTTAGGCCACACTCCCCAGAATCTCCTTTTTCACCCAGGCACTTGTGATGTTTAAAGCTCCTGAGGTGGCTTGAATATGTAGTCAAGGTTGAGTGCCAGTAGCCTTGGGTTGGAATCTGCCCCTTACTGCTTCACACCTGCAGGCCCCTTAACCCTTCAAAGTCCCTTGATTGTTGTAAGGACTCCAGATGGTATATTGAAAGTGCTAAGAGTAGCCGGCACATGGTGAGTGTCCAATTGATGATATTTGTTATTAATAATAAAAATTATAAGATCAGAAAGCTTAAGACAACTTTTGAAGGGAGAAAGGAAAAAAAAAGTCAAAAGACTAGAAGTACAGCTATTACCTTTTTAACATAATACTGTTTATTTTTATATCCTTGAGCTGAAGTTTGCATTTTATTTAAAACTTAAAGCTTATTCTAGATTTTTTAGAAGGTGTCGTGGTGCCTCTCCAGAGCACCATCTCATTCACCTGCACTAAAATAAGGGCGAAGGAAGAAAGCCTGTTAGTGCTGCTCACTACAAGGCCATGTTCACCTGTCCCACCAGCTCATCGCACAGATTAAGACCCAAGAGCACTGTAGCGGGGTCTGAAGAGAAAATGAAAGGCATCCTCCTATGGTGCCAATGAGCCCGGTGGGAAAGTTGGCAGGATGACAGATCCCTCACTCCTTGTCTGCTGGGCTCTCTGCCTTTGCCCTCTTGGTCCCAGCCCCCTCTAGGCAGCCACCTTGGAGCTCTGGGTCCCCTCTGTGGTGGGCCTGGGGTCTGGTACAGCTCACCTGGGGACACAAGGATATGTGGAGGGAAGATGGGAGTGAGTGTGTGTATGTATGGAATTTTGGATATGAACTAGTAAGGAATGGAAATAGGGCTGAAAGCCACAATAACATGATTAAATATGGCTGATCTTACCTAGTCGTGCTCTGGACTAAACTAATCCCTTGAGCTGGTCACAGAACAGGTCCAAGTATTTAGAAAAAGCAGATGAGGTGAGATCTCCAAGGGCCAATCTGATAGAAGATGCCAAGGCCTTTCCCTTTTCTGGACTCATTTTTGAGATACTTAGGAAGAACTTCTACCTGCTTATCTCTACTGTTCCCCACTCCGTTCCCCTCTAGCACAGACAAATTGTTCTGAGATGTGAAGTCATAGTTTGAGGCCACACTGTCCTTGGCCACAGAGCTAATGCTAGCTGACCGCTGCTCATGCCCACTTTCTGGCCCTGCTGGATGGGTGGTAGAGTGGAGCTGCCTCACTGGTGACAGCTAGGGAGAAAGGGCTGAGAAGCAGGGAACAGGAGGAGGAGAGCTGAGATGATCTTGGTTTGAAAACCAGCCCCCCACACAGTGTCAAGCACTAGCCCCTGCGTGTTACTGGAAACGTGAAGGGGTTTGTTTATGGCACCAGGGTTCTGTTCTGCACAGAGAAGTTTCCATTTCATTATAGGAATCCATAGACCTTCACTCAGAGCCTGCAGTTAAAATATAAGGTGTACTCTGAGTAACCAACAAAGGTCTAGTATCCAGAATATAAAACACGCCCTGGACGCTTAAGCAGTAGAACGCCACAATCGAATTTTAAACCTGAATGACTGCACCATCTGAGCAATCCATCCTTCTAACAGGGCCTTATAAAATGCCTTTTTGCCCAGTGTCTTGCAGGACATTGTGAGGGGTAGGCCAAAAGAGTGGAGGACTCCACCCCCGGCCTCCAGGAGCTGAATCATGGTCACAGTTTACTTACAACTCTGCCGGCACGTTACCTTTAACCTCACAATAACGCTGCACATTAGGGATTGTAGAAATCCAGAGGGTGAAGGAAAAACGCTTGGTGTTAATGTCCTTGTATCTTGCCCCTCGCATGCCCGGGTTCAGAACTCACCGGTGTTGATCTCTCCCTCATCATACACATCCACCTCCAGAAGCCTGATGAGCATGCGGAAGAGAATCCTAAGGAACTGTAAATAGGAGCCAGTCTTTCCCACCTAATGGAAACATTTTTAATTGGGGAGAGGGAAGGAAAAGAGAAAAGAGATTTCACACCTGGGCTCTTCGGTGTCTCCTGCCTCTGCGAGGCCTGAGTGAGGTCCTCATTGCTCTGATGATACCCACCCCACCCCTGAGAGGTTCCCTGACTTCTTTCCTTCTTGGGGACCCCAGTCTAGGACAGAGCCTGGCCTGGCCCCTGCCTTACCTGGGGGGGCCCAGTCAGCAGCAGCCGCCGGGGGTGGCAGGTCCGGGTGCCGGAGGTGGGGTCTGGCTGGTTGTTGTAGTCGGCGTGGTGCTGCCGAGCCGAGGTCCACTGCCGGTAGTAGAGGGACTGCTCCTCGCTGCTCATGTCCTTGTGCAGAAATGGCCGCAGGGAGCTTACCCAGGCCACATCGGCATGCGGCAGCAGGGATGAGGAGGATGGCAGCTTGCCTCCCCTCTGGGAGCCCAGGAGGCTGTAGGCTGCTTTGGATAAGATCACTATTGGAGGCAGGGCGGTGTGCAGACCCCTGCAGCCTTGGATAGGCTGTCCCGGCCACAGGAGGGCCCGGGGTCCCGAAGAGGAGGAGGATGACGAAGGCTTGGAGGTGGTGCTGCTCGCCATGTGGGCGCCCAGAGAATCACACTCCTGCTTCAGAGTTTCTCCAGCCCCTGCCATGCCTGCGGAGACCCCTTCATCCAGCCCCACGCTGTTGGCTGGGCTCTGGAAGCTGGGGGTCAGGGACTGCTTCTGGGACTTGTCTGCTGTGCTGGAAGAGCTCACCCCATTCTCCATGATGGAGCCTGAAAGGACAGACAGAGCCCACCCCAGACCCCTGTTACCGATGCTAAAGTGTGCTCCCCCAGGTTCCTGGCACCTCTGGGGAGGAGGGAAAGGCCAAGAAACCAGCTCGAATATGGCTCTGCATACCAGCTGCAGAAACTGTGCTAGAAATCTTCCCTTTGCCCTCCTTCTCCATGCTCCTTTACCCTGCTCCCCTGCCCTGGCTTTTGGGTGGGATTGGTCAATGGGAGACACCAGCAGGAAATCAGTTACTTATTTCCTGGCTCCCTGGCCACCCAGGGTGAGCTGCCTTTCTCCATGAGGGCTGTGGCACATGTCGTGCCAGCTTCTCTGGGTCCCCGTAACTGCTCCCTCTGCTGGCTTCTTCAGGCCCACTGGTGGTCAGGGCACCTTGGGGTTAACTATGCCACCTCTTGCCCCTTTTCTAAATCCTGCCCACATCTTTGTAAATAGTCCTGTTGATAAAGTCTCCTCAAATTACCTCATTCGGATATGTCATCTGATTCATTCCAGGACCCTGACCAATACAGGCTCCACGTTTAAGTTCTACTCCAGTGGCACTCGCCTCCTTCTGGGGTCCAAGGACCTCACACTTCTGGCTGTGATAAGCTCCCCAGGGTGTAGCCACTTCCATGGATGCCCAAACCAGTGTGGGAAATGTCTCCATGTGAAGGGGGAAGGAAGGTATATAATCTAATGAGGTGTGGTTCTTGCCCAGAGATCCCAGTGCATTTGGCCAATTTGCATTGAATATGTTTTTCTCCCCAATAGATAGCCACTCTTTGGTTTGAGGACAAACCAAAAGCTCATTACGTTCAGGACTGAAGGCCCTCTCTGGGCACAGATTGGTGCCTTCCAGGCATATAGGTCAAATCCCAACCAGGGAGATCCTAGATGAATGGCTAGTAACTGGAGGTTACTGAAACCAAGTCACTCCACTTGCTCGTTTGACTTTCCATCTTGTATGAGAGCGTGCCTTTCTCTTCACAGCTCTGACCATCAGTCCACATGCCTCTGCACTCTGGGCAGTGAGCTCCCTGAGGCCCCTCAGAGTCAGCCCAAGGCTGGGGGATGTGTGCTCAGTGGTGTGAGCACAGCTCCTAGGCCAGGTTGTCCTTGAAGGAAGGGAAGCTCTAAACAGCAGACGGCAAACCATTACCTTAGTATGAGTTAATCAGAATGAGGCCAAGAATGCATGAGCCTTGTGGGGCAGCTCTAGAAATGCAGGGAAAGGAGCGAATACAATTAAAGAGCCACAGGAACAAAGACGAACCTCAGGGTGGTATGGAAAAGCTCCTAGATGTGCTATTTCCTCCTCCCTTCTGTTACCCTCTACTACTCGCTGTTATTCTGAACTGGTCTGAGACCCTGTAGAGGTGGGGGTGAAGGGAGGTACAGCCCTGACCCCTGTCTGAGGGGGCTGGCTCGGCAAACCCCAAGAAGGACAGTCCTCATGCTCTTCCAGGCTGAGGGTCACTATTTGTTTTGTTAGTGTCACGATTCCAGCTCCTAGTGAGCCTGTGTACAGCAGGTCAGAACCCTGCCCGCCATCCTCTCACCTCCCAGCGCTATATTAGACAATGCTCTGCTGCTGTTCATAGGGTTTTCGTGGCCAATTTTTTCAAAAGTAGTATTTGGAATACTGGTGGCATAGCTTTCCACATCACAGCAATGTGCAGCTGCCACAGTACGACAACAGACAGACGGGTGGTGTGGTTCCCTGACCGGGAAACAAACCCAGGCCACAGGGGAGAGAGTGGCGCTCTCCGCCCAATCTTAACCACTAGCCGAGCTGTTGAGGGTCACTATGGAAAGACAGAAAACCCCACAGATAATGGCCTCTTCAGTTCCCACAGGGCGCCATCCCACAGTAGCTGACAGAATGAACAGAAAGACCAGTGCTGCTTTCAGATATGAAATTGTGTGTGCTTTTGCATGTATGTGTCATAGTGACAAAAGAAGGGAACTGTGGGAGAGAAGGAATGTTAATGGTGGTTATCTTGGGTCATGGAGTTTTCACTTTCAATCTCTTCTCTATACTTCATTACGTTCTCTGAGTTTTCTGCATTAAGCTTTATTACTTTCATAATCAGAAAAGAATTTTAATAGTGCTGCATTTGCTGTAAGACAACTTATCAGAAGAAAATTCATCAGGCACTGCCATAGGCCATATTGTAACACTACAGGAGGGGCTAGCAGGCTGCATATGGATCATCACAGTCAACCAGTGGCCCCACAGCAGCCGTCAGTATTCAAATACTTGCCTTTAAGTACTTAGAAAAATCATTCATTCATTCAAACAAACACTTTGTGCCAGGTACTAAGCCATTTAGCACAACTTACAGCTTCAGGATCTGGAAGGAAAAGAGGGCCTTTGTGCAAATATCAGATGTATAATATCCATGAGATGATTAGGGTTGGAAAGACTAGTGAAAGTGCTGCAGGCTGGGGTTGATAAAATTTTTTGTATTTGGCCTTTTACCAAGCTCTCAGTAAATGTTTCCCCAGAGAGGTATTTTGTGCTGTTCAACAGTCATGTTTTCCCAGTATCTCTCCCAGGGAACTGAGGTCTGGACAGGATGCCTCAGTCACCAAAGGCTGCTCTGAAAGCCTTGAGGGGCCTTGCGTCTGCCTACTCCCCTCCTGATCCCTGTCTCTCACCCCTTGAGAAGAGAGAGTACTGACCTGAGGTTCCAGTGACAGCACTGCTGTTGCTCTGGGGCCTCTCCAGATCGATCAGCAGCTCGTCAGAGTCATTCTCACTGACCGTGGCTCTCTCCTGCTCCTTCCCACTAAGGTCCAGGGCAACAGCGGGCCCCCGGATGACCTCTTTTGAGACATAGCAGCACGCCAGACCCACCTCCTGCTCCAAGGCCGTGCGAGTTAAATAGCTCGAATCAATTAACCTGAGGTCGCAGTACTTCAAAGACCTGCACAAAAGTAATGATGGTTCTGGTGAGCCCATCTGGCCATGCAGGCAGGGTTTATGCATGCCTGGATAGCTGGGTGCATCGCGGCAGGTAAAATCATGGCTTTCAGTGCTGGGTAATCCTTGATTTAACCCTCAGCTCTGCCACCTCCTAGCTGTTATGACCTTGGGCTAGTCGCTTCATTTTCTCCACATAGAGAATAACAGTGGCTCATATGGTTATTGTAAGGAATGGATGGCATGACACATGTAAGGCATTTATACAGTAAGCCTTCAATTACAGCTCTTACTGTTGTTGCCTTCCAATCTACAGGCCCTAGCCCCTTGAGGGGGTGAGAACAGCAGATTAACAGAGACACTTTCTCCAAAAAAATCCTTGTTTGGGGCAGGTGCTTCTCTTCTCTGCCTCTCTGGCTACCCTGCTTTGATGCATAGTCACTTCTTAGCTGTGGCCTTCTTCCATTCCCCAGATTGCTAGGTGATCTCTGGAAAGTCAAAAGAAAGAATCAAGGAAGGCGAAATGTCTTATATCTCTGAATGAAACAATGCTCTTCTCACTTGCCAAATGTATGAAATGGCTAAGTTAAGTGTCAGCCGAGTTTTAACCATCAGCTCAGCTGGGCAACTAAGGAAAAATGAGAACTAAGGATTCAAACTGTACCTGGGAAAGCTTTCTCCAAGCGGATCTTTGCCAGTTAATATCACAATACAAGGCAGACCTTCTAAATCTTGGTATGTCCGAGGGATCCACTCTTCTGGTTCATTTCCTCTCCAAGTCTGTAGAAAGGGACCCATATGGTAAAATTAAAACCACTTATTTAAGTTTCCCCCTTTTTAAAGCTTTCTAGGTCCAGACTTTATAAACTTGTGCTTCCAAATGACTTCCAGTGTGTGTCTACATATATTTTAACTGCTACTAAAAAGCATACACAAAGCACCGCTAGAAGAATGTGGCCTTTATCCTTTATCCTTTAGTAGGAAGTCTTGGTATAGATCATGTATTAGCCACACAGGCCAGAGACATAGAATATGAAATATCCCACCAGTCAAGCAGACCTTACAGAAGTCCTGGATAAACTACCTGACTCAAGGCTCTTAAACATACTTTCTTCATATAATGCACAGACTCTTGGGACTGACTGAAAATGACAGTTTTGGTTGTAAATGTCTAGTGAAAGAATCTCAACAACACTCCATGAAAACAGACATCTTGACAAAAAGAACCATGAAGTTAGACACTCCTGGTGGTTATTTTTCCTCTTTTTTCCTTTATTGATGTCTAAATTAATTGACAAGTAATTATTGGCTGAGGGCCTCAAACAGTCTCTCATGAGAAGGCTAAAAATATAATAAAACCTGGAGCAAGAAAAAACCCAGCCCCTTATTTAGGAAGAGTAATGCAGTTAGCTCATGGTTTTATAAGAATCTATTAAACATCAACCTCTTATAGATATCAACACATATATACATATACACACATATGGATAGCTTTAATAAATGGAACATCAGTCTTGAAAACTTGAATATATGAATGAAAAGGGGAAAATCCCACCAACTTGAAAGATGTTCAAAAGTGAAAAGATCTTACAGATTTTTCTATTTTAGAGCTGAGAGAAAATAGACTTTTTAAGTAAATAAGGTGGTTTCCACTACTTTTTATAAAGTGTGTAGCATCTAATTATGCTTTATATCAGCTTTCTAGCAGGAGTTATTATAAGAAACGAGCTGACATTTCTGATAATGCTTTAGGGAACAAGGACCAAGAAGTGAGGTGTTAAGTAATGCATATAAATTTATTTTAAAATAGAATTGTACTTCCTTTGCTAAACACGAAATGGCATAAAAAGAAATCTATCAGGCAAGAAATAATATAATAGAGTTTGATTAATGATTTGTTGTTGTCCAGAAAAACCAGTCTTTAGAAATAAATATACCCACAATTACTTCAAATAAAATGTATATAATTTGTAAAAATGGAAGAACCTTAACCTTGTTGCCCAATCTTTTATGATAATTTGTGTACCAACGGGAAATCAGTGGATCTACATTATTGCTTACAAGTTTGAGAGACTTCTCATGTCTTAGAAAATCAACCTGTCAAAAAGCTTTTTTAAAATGTTAGAAGAAAGATTCTCTACAAAACTTCAGTTTTCCATATGCTTTCATGTCAAAAGAAACCAGAACATTACCTGATTTAAAGCAAAGAATTCTGGAAATAGGAAGCATTTTACTTATAGCCTTCACATTGGACTCACGATATCCCTGACACGGGTTCTCCCTGAATATATTTTATCTCCCAGAAACCATCCATAGGTCATGGTTCCACCACAAATAATGAGGCCAGCTTATGACGATGGGATAAGAGAGATTATGTTATGCTCCACAAGATTTCTTTTCATAAGATTATTAAACAAATCTTTCATTCATGACCCATCCGAGCTAGCCAATCCCACTATAAAATACTCTTCTGTCACATTGCTACCTCTGATGCATGATGGCTGCAGTTCTGTGGATCACCCTGCCCTCAGGATGACTACTGCACAAGCATTTAAGACAGCACAAAAGGCTGGGTGAGCATTGAGTTCAAGAATAATATGGGGCTCAAGGCCAGGGAACTCTAAGGAAAGCTTCACAGGCCTTCTGGAGGAACTGATTTATTTAGATTTAAATCTTGTATCTGTCCAAAGTATTTGCCATCACTTCTAAGTTAACCACGATACATAACAGGATAATTAGAGGTAAGCACAAAAATAAGACCATCTAATGGAAGAAAAGGCACTGGATTTTACCCCAGACCACAGATAAAAGGCACACCAATGCCAGAATGTCAGTGGTAAAGGAAGTTGGTAACTTGGAAATAAACAGGTGAAGTAGAGACCACCTGGCAAGCGGCAGTCTTGCTTAGGATGTGAACATTTCAACGGGATTTCATAGTTTCACTTCCACACACATAGAGTATAAACAGGACAGACTGATGGGATCCAGGGGTTTTGAGAATATGGAAATCTCTTTTGTGTGGTTGGTGCCTGGCAGCTACTCATATAAATTAAGTGAGATATAACTGCTTTGAGAAGCAATTACTTGAGACCCACTTTGTGTATGGCAGGCTCTCAGAACAGCAGGTGCAGAGCAGTCACCCTCTAAAAGCCCTGAGTGTGGTTCTGATGTGCTAGCAGCTAGGTTAAGAACCTAAGGTCTTGACTGCGGTTTTCAAACTATGGCCCAGATGAGTAAATTATTTAGGACCTGCCGATTTATACTGACTTAGTGATCGGCACTTCTGAAGGGTCTGAACAAATAACCTAAGACTCTGTAAGTAGCTATACTTGACCAGTGTCAATGGAGACCCAGAGAAGACCTGGCAGCTTCACATCCTTTAGAAACAACTCCCTGCAGTAGGTGTGTGAGACTTCACAGTGATGCTGCTTATTTGCTTTTCCAGATTCTTCATTATTAGCATTATTCCAAGTTGTCTCGACCTACGTCTCAATGAGTTACACTTTAAGAAGTTTCAGGACTCTGATGTGTTATTCATCCTAGGAATTCTCCTGTAATGTGGTCTATGACTATAATTTAAAATTATGAACATTATATCTACATATTAAATATAAATGTTACAGGTTCCATTAAATATAGTTTATTTTTAGGCAGATTTATTTGTCCAAGTTGCTTATCAAGCTAATACAAGATTTATTTTTTTTTTCATTCTGGATTATTCAATTTAGGCTAGGTAATAGAATACAATAAAAATATCTGCATTTGCAAAATGCTTCATGAACACTAAATAATAATCCCCAAATTTAGAACTCTTAGAGATCATACAGTCCTACTCTGATTTTGCAGATGGGAAACTGCAGCCCAGGGTGGAAATGCAAATCCCCCAAGACTACGTGCTTTCTTTTCATAAAGTTTGTGTCAGACTGGATTTTCTTGACCCAATTTAGCTGAGTATTTAGTGTGTGGGGTGCAGTCACCATGTGGGTCTAACTCAGACACACAGTACCCTACCTATATGTATGCAGGTATTTTATTGAATGCTTTCTAATGGCTAGGATGTATTGGATTATAAAAGTCCCCAGAAAAACCTGAGCAGAGCATAAGGTAGTGAGTTGGGTTAGTTGATTTAGGAATTCTCCCCTACCCATGCCTAACAGGAGTGGTTTAGGAGAAGCAATCAGTCCCTGGCCATGCAGAGGGGCAGGGGGGTTGGCTCATGCCCTAAATCCCTCTGTAGGATGCTTTGATAAGTCTCAGACCAGCCCAAGCCTTAGGGCTGAGGGTCAAAGCAAATACAGAGAAACAAACTGTTGAAGAATCCACATGCAAGAGGGCAGGAAATAGTTCTATGAGTCCTGAGGATAAAATGGAATACTCCATCCACTCTAGATATGAGCTGACAGGCTAGATGGACAGAAAAGAATTAGTGAATTGGTAATACTTAAAGGAGTACCCCACAGAGATCTGACAGAACAACTTACCTTTTGTTTCTGAGAAAACAGGTGGCTGTGGGCTAGATGCATCTTGAACAAGGTCAATAAACATGGGTGGAATTGGGTCATCTCAATTTTGCACCTGCAGTTGGAGAGCATGGAAGACCAACTGCATGCACCTACTAAGAAGGGGGCTTGACAGAATCTTAATAGACTGGTTCCAATTAGCAAAGTGAACATGTCCCTTAGTTTAGCCTTAACATTGTCATGTAGATCAGATTGACCCATGTGCAAAACTCTCTTAAACTCAGGCCTCTGGGCCACCTATGTGGGATTCCTAGAAAACAGAAACAAATGGCATTTTGAAGGAGAAAGGTCTGTCCATTGCTAACCTTTAATCGCGCCACAAAGTGAGTTGCAACACTGAGTTCAGAGGCAGGGTTCCCAAGGATGATCTCAAAGCGGTACTGCAGCCCCAGCTTGTCGCGCACCTCCTGCAGCCGCTCCTTGGCTAACATTGCCAGCTGCACGGAGGGCACCCTGATAATGAGCATGTGTCCCCTCCCACTTTTGGTTTTTCCTGGGGAGCTGATGAGGTCATCCATAATGCTGAGTGTTTCTGGTGTGCTGTGGTCTCGGAGTGACGCCATGGTGGTGAGAGCCATCAGAGCCTCCGAGTACTGCTGGATGAGAAGGTAGCAGCGGACGACCATGCTGTGCAGCCTGGGGTACCTTCAACAGAACACAGGGAGCTAGCATTCGGGCAGCAGGACCAGCTGGGACAGCAGGGTCTGTGCGGTAGGAATGCACACTACACATGGGGGGAGAGGCTACTGCTCAGTGCTGGGCTTGGCTCTAGAATGATGCTGGAGCCCACAGCGCTAGAAGGAAAAGTTGAGCTTCCAACACCTGTCAGTAAGAACCTGCTGAGACAGGTACAGCAAGTTAGGGAGGCAGAGGGATGCTCTAGCAACCCTCGTTTCTCTGAGTGTGGTCTACGGCCCAGCAGCAGCGCCACCTGGGAGCTTGGTACAAATGTCAAATCCCCCCACCCCAGAGGGACCGAATCAGAATCCTCAGCTTGACAAGCTCCCAGATCTGTGTGCACATTAAATTTTGAGAAGCACTGGTCTAGTCAGGTTATTTGTCTCCAGAGTCATAACGGACCATCCCTGGATCCTAACCTCTTGCTGGTGGCATTGGATTAGAATCGTGCCCTTGTTGGTGTATTTCTCTGATACTTACAATTACAGTAAAGGAAATTGAGACGTTAATGTCATGTGTGTGGATTATCAGACATAAGGAGAGTAATTATGATTATTAATTTGAGGTCAGTCCCACAGATAGCAATAATACTATTTTCCCATAAGATGTGCCTTGGTGCTGAGAAAACTTGGAGCTGAATGGAGAAATAGCACCCCCTAGTGGTGTGGCCTCCTATCACCAGAGCCCCTGCTCAGTAAAGGGAGCAGAGGTGTCTTTGCCTCATCCCAACACGTCCCCGCCCCCAACCTGGACTGCCAGGTAAGGGAATCACTTTGCTCAAATTGGAAGTTTTTACAATTGCAGAGCAGGTGAAAATAAATCTCTCATTTATGTGCTATTCCTCAGAAAGCCAGGCCTGCTGATAAAATGAGAACAAATGGGTAGAGGACCCACTTGCAGACATGAAGAGCTGCTGGTCAAGAAAGTAGGTGCTGGGAATTCAAGGTCCCAGGCCCAAGCTCAGTCAAGCCTCTCGTGGAGCCAGCAAAATGAGGGTGAGTCTGAGAATTTCTTTCTGGTTGCCAGCCAGCAGCATGTCCTGATGCCTAGCAGCTGGGTAGGCTAAGGGGGATTTCACCTTTGTTCCACTTTATAATTCTATTTAAAGTGAAGTAAGTGGCCCACTGGCCTTACTCATTAAAGCCTACGGTCAAATACCAATTAAGGTCATCAAATGAATAGTGTGGTTTTGAAGTACTTTAGAGCTGGGAAGGCCCATGGATGCCCTGGATTCTGACCACTCCATTTTTTCATAGAAGGAGAAGGAGTTAGGGGGTTGAAAGAAATTCAGCTAGGTGCCCAAGATCAACCAACTGGTCAGAGACAGAGCTGGGTCTAGATTTCATTCAGCTCTCTGACAATGTCTTCTTATGTTGCAAGGATTTAGTAGATTGGGGAAAAGTGAAGAAATCCTTCAGTTCAATCAATCCTGGATCAGTCCCTTCGAGTGTTGGAGGAAGTAAGCATAGATGATCCTTGTTTAAAGCTTAATGTTTTTTGCCGGGCCATGTAGGAAAGCCAAAGTTAGAACAAATGGTAACTTTGATACACAGGCATTTACATTTCACACTCTGAAAGAAATATGAATTTAGAAGTCCAATATATTATATTTGCTTAAACTGTAATTATAGTTTTGTATTACAAAAGTTGTATGGAAGTTGATGGGATCATTCATTAAAATATGAGTTATGAAACTCTGAATGATGTTACTAGAAGGAAAGATACATTCCAGGCTGACGAGTGGAACAGGTGGGTGGGAAACACTTAAAGGGGAGATTCATGGGAGGATTTTGGAAATCTAAGCTCACACGTGCTGTGAAAGGATTAATTCCCAGTGTCAGTTAAGTCTTCTCAAATCCAACAGCTGCAAAAACATAAAATCCTACTCCAAGCCTGCTCCTTTTCCCAATGTGGAACTGTAACTGCTGGATCAGATGCATCCACCTGTCCTCATTTTGATTTTTTTTCTTAGCAAAATTACAGGGCAGGTTGTTAAATGGGTAGCTTTTACAAATTGGAGCTAATTTTAAGAACTAGAGCTACTAAAAAGTGGAATGTGCCTCATCAAACTGAGCCCAACTGCCCCCAAATCACTGGATGATCAAACAGAATTCCGTAGTAGAGGGCAGGGAGGACCCTCTCTTAGGTCAGTAAATTCTAATGCCCCTACCTACTCTTGGAGTCTATAATTCAAGGTCAGAGAGGGAAAAATAGGAAAAACATTTACTCCTCCAGAGTTTGATCTGGAACTGGGGAATAAAAAGAAGGCAGAGGAAAGGAGATAGAAGAATCACGATCCTTAACTCCCAAGGTCAAGGCCTGGAAGAGGAGCACTCACTGAAATGATCTAATTGTTCCTTAATTTTCTCCAGTCTTTCCTCCAAATCTCTCATAGTAAATTTAATTTTTACCCAGTCATCTAAGGGTACCTGCCTGTGGTGGACAGAGGAGAAAGGAAGAAACATGTAAAGGTGTAGGGTGGCCGGTGGGGGAGGCTAGACCTCAGAGGAATGGCCTTTAATAAGCAAATCACTCTCTGCCGTGTAATCTCCCGGTGGTAGCAATGCAGCATGCTTGGAGACGATTCAAGGCATGGAAAGTGGTTCTACGTCCCACTCTGGGTCGCTAGTTTCCTTTGCTGGTCTTGGAGGATCACAGAAAACCCATCTGAGAAAAAGGTCATCTTAGGAAAGGCTATTTTTATTCTGCCTTTGCATGTCATCTGCACAGCCTGGGCTCCACCCAACTCCCTGTGACACTGATACAAAAGGCTTCTGGCTATTCTAGATATGCACGTACAGCTAAAGAAAAGGCTGAAGGTCTTTATTTACCTCTCCAAGAGCGTGTTCACCATTTTTTCAAAAGTCTCGTCACACCTCAGAAGTGGGCTTGTGATTCCCCACTGTAGAGACTTACTGTACTCATTCAAGCCGAAGTACAGCTTCTCCTCGCAGCTCATGTCCTCCTGATGCAAAATACAGAGCAAAACCCAGTGAGGACAGGATACAATGTGTCTTGTTTTCTAGGGGGAAAGATCCAGGTTATTTCCTGGAAGGTTAAAAAAAAAATTGTGAATAAACAAGTAGGAGTACATCAAACTAAAAAGCTTCTGTACGGCAAAAGAAACTACCAACAAAATGAAAAGGCAAACTATAGAATGAGAGAAAATACTTGCAAATCATATATCTGGTAAGGGGTTAATATCCAAAATATATAAATAACTCACACAACTCAATAGCAAAAAAACCAAACAATCCGATTAAAAACTGGGCCAAGGAACTTGAATAGACATTTTTCTAAAGAAGACATACAAATGGCCAACAGGTATATGAAAAGATGTTCAACATCACTAATCATCAGGGAAATGCAAATCAAACCCACAAGACATCACCTCATACCTGTTAGAATGGCTGTCATCAAAAATACAAGAGTATAAACCAATATGACCTCAATAAAATAATTTTTAAAAAAGACAAGAGATAGGTGTTGGTGAGGATATGGAGAAAAGGGAACCCTTGTGCACTGCTAGTGGAATGTAAATTGGTGCAGCCACTATGGAAACAGTATGGAGGCTCCTCAAGAAATTAAAAATAGAACTACCATATCATCCAGCTATTCCACTTCTGAGTATATATGCAAAGGAGATGAAAACAGTCTATCGACGTGATCTCTGCATTCCCATGTTTATTGTAGCATTATTCACAGTACCCAAGGTATGGAAACAACCTAAATGTCCATCGATGGATGAATGGATAAAAATGGTGTGTATATAAATATATTCAATGGAATATTATTCAGCCATAAGGAAGAAGGAAATCCTGCCACTTGTGACAACATGAGTGGATTTTGAGGACATTATGCTCAGTGAAATAAGCCAGATAGAGAAAGACAAATACTACATGCTATCACTTCTATGTGGAATCTAAAAAAAAAGTCAGAGTCACAGAAACAGAGTAGAAAAGTGGTTACCAAGGGCTAGGGGTTCGGGGAAATAGGGAGAGGTTGGTAAAGGGTACCAACTTTCAGCTATAAGACGAATAAGGTCTGAGGATCTAATGTACAACCTGGTGACTACAGTTGATAACATAGTATTATATAAATGAAATTTGCTAAGACAGCAGAACTGAAATGTTTTCAACAAAAACAACAACACAACAAAAATGTATATAAATATGTGAGGTGATGGATGTGTTAGTTAACTAGATGGGAAGAATCCTTTCACAATGTCTACATGTATCAGATCATCACGAAGTACACTTTAAATACCTTGCAATCTTGTCAGTGATATCTCATAAAGCTGAAAAAATATTGTGTTTCATTATATAGCCTGATACCAGCTCTACAATCATCTCTGAGGCACTAGCTGAAATTTCTTTTCACTTCAAATGAACTTAATATGTGATCAGTGGCATGTTGACATGCTTCCTTAAGGCAGATGGTAACTACATAGATGGTTTGTCTTCTCTTTCTTTTCTTCAGACATTTTCTGAGGAATAGCACTTGTTAGGCCAGCATAGTCACAAGGTCGGATTTTTTTCTCTCTGGAAGCAGCTCTCTATACTGGTGCACATGCTATCCATAAAACGCTATGGAGATGGGCAAACTCAAAAACTCCTCTATTATAGAAAACTTAACTTCTCAGACAGCATAATTCATATAAAATTCATAAAAAGTGATCCTTTGACAAACAAAAGTTATTTTTAAACTGCAATAGATATTCCTCTGCTTTTTTAAACAGAATACACAGTCTTTAATCTATCCCCCATCTTGATGACTCAGTCCTCACTGTGAAAATGAATAACTATTTTGGGATGTGACACAAAGATTCCCTCAGAGGATCCTGAGATGTGTGACAAGCTGCTTGCTTGTCCTTAAACTAAGCCTCAGAATATTAAATAAGCTGTTCAGTTCAAGTATCTGCTTTTTGAAATAGTTTCTTCTCCTCTTTTCTAGATTAATTTTTCACAGTCATTTCTTCTTGCTGTCATGTTGCCTATGCATTTTAGTCTCTTGTTATTTATTATGTATTGACATTTTTCTTTAAAAACTCTCCAACTCATTTCATAAAGGTAATACAGCTGCTTAAAATGTATAATATGATAAAAATAAATTAGGCAATCAGAGGAAGAAGCAGCTAGGGTAAGAGAAATAAGATTGGGCCAGGGATAAAGTTAGTACTCTCAAAAAGGCATACCAGAATTTTCAGCACATCTTGTTAGAGGTGGGGTACAAATCTGTTTCTGAGCTTTTTAGCAACCCATCCAAAGAGATGAGCAATTATGTGATTTATAAGGTCCATATGATAAAAATAAGGTGTTATTTAATCGACAGCTTTTAAGTTTTTGAGACCCCCCCCCCCCAAAACCAGTTAATCCTGCTCTTTGGAAAAGGGTCTTATTTAAGAGTAAATATGCTTTACAAGAGGACCAGAATATCTTCTTATGAATACTGGAGCCTTAGAGCATACACTGAGAGCTATCTATTGTTTATTGGTTTGCTTGTTTCCTTCTGGTTTCTTGGCTGTTCTCGATAGTTGTATCAAATAAGTCATTTCAGGATGAAAAAAGTCATTCAGCTGAGTTTCCCTCTGTATCTGGACAGCAGGCACTGAGTCAGAGGAAAAGTTTTATCTTAAATGTACTTGGTCTTCACATTCCTTCTCATCCTTGGTCCTGCTTCTTTGGGGAAGTATAAAATCCTCCTCCAAGCCTATTCCTTTTCCTGATGCAGCATTGTAACTTGCTGGATAGGATGCATCCACCTGTCCTCATTTTGATTTCTCTTTTTTCCTTAGCAAAATTATAGAGCAGGTTGTTAAATAGATGGCTTGTGATCAATTTGAGCCAGTATGGGTTTCAAGAACTAGAATGACTAAAAATAAGAATTAGAAGTGAATAATTTCCTCAGTCTGTTATGTTTGCATTAAGTTGTAACTGTGGTTTTGTATTTAAAAAGTTGTAACAGAAGTTAATGGGACCATCCTTTAAAATATGAGTTATGAAACTCTGAATGATGTTACTCTAAAGAAAGATATGTTCCAAGTATCAGAAATCACATGATTTATCAAATCCCTGTGTCTTTGAGGAAAATGTCCCTTCTCTTAAAAAAAAGTCTTTGCTGAAATGCAAATTGGTACAGCCACTATGAAAAAGAGTTCCTCAAAAAATTAAAAATAGAACTATCATATGATCCAGCAATTCCACTTCTGGGTATTTATCCAAAGAAAATGAAAACACTAACTTGAAAAGATATATGCACCCCATGTTCATTGCAGCATTATTTACAATAGCCAAGATATGGAAACAACATAAATGTCCAGTGACGGATGAATGGATAAAGATGTGGTATATATATACAATGGAAAATTATTTGACCATGAAATCTTGCCGGTTGCGACAACATGGATGAACCTTGAGGGCATTATGCTAAGTGAAATAAGTCAGACAGAGAAAGACAAATACCATATGATCTCACTTATATGTAGAATCTAAGAAACAAAACAAAAAGAAAACACCAAGCTCCTAGATACAGAGAACAGGCTGATAGTTGCCAGAAGCGGGGGAAGGGGGTGAGCAAAATGGGTGAAGGTGGCGGGGCTGGCCCTGTTGCTGAGTGGTTAAGTTCACACCCTCCGCTGCAGGTGGCCCAGTGTTTCATTGGTTTGAATCCTGGGCGCGGACATGGCAATGCTCATCAAACCACGCTGAGGCGGCGTCCCACATGCCACAACTAGAAGGACCCACAATGAAGAATATACAACTATGTACCGGGGGGCTTTGGGGAGAAAAAGGAAAAAAATAAAATCTTAAAAAAAAAATGGGTGAAGGTGGTCAAAAGGTACAAACTCCAGTTATAAATTATAACTAAGTCATGGGGATGTAACGTACAGCATGGTGATCATAGTTAATAATACTGTATTGTATATTTGACAGTTGCTAAAAGAGTACATCCTAAAAGTTCTTATCACAAGAAAAAAAATTCTGGGGCTGGCCCAGTGGCCGAGTGTTTGAGTTCACGCGCTCTGCTATGGTGGCCCAGGGTTTCGCTGGTTCGGATCCTGGGCGCAGACATGGCACTGCTCATCAAGTTGAGGCAGTGTCCCACGTCCCACAACTAGAAGGACCCACAACTAAAATATTTACAACTATGCACTGGGGGGATTTGGGGAGGGAAAAAAAAAAAAGCAGAAAGAAATAAAAAAAGAAGATGGGCAACAGTTGTTAGCTCAGGTGCCAATCTTTAAAAAAAAAAAAAATTCTGTAACTATGTGAGGTGATGGATGTTAGTTAGACTTACTATGGTGATCATTCCTCAGTATATACAAATATGAAATCATTATGTTGTACACCTGAAACTAATATAACGTGTGTCAATTATATCTCAATAAAAAAAAATCTCCCCCCACCCAAAGTCCTGCCCTCTCAGTGACCCCAGCCTGCAGCTCTCCCTGTCCTTTCGCTGCCGTCTCTGCTTCTCCTCCAGCCAAATGCTCTGCTCTATGGATGCTGTTCCCTGGAAGGTGACCAAGGACTCCTGAGGCCAAATCCAGAGGCCTTTATGTGTCGATCCTCGGCCTCGCTGCCCTCTCGGCAGTTGTTTTCATTATTTTTTTCCATCATTTTTTTCTACACCAGCTGCTTCAGTGACCATTGTTTTTGAAAAAATATTCCAAAACTACATCATAAAGCCCAATCCAAACTCCAACTTTGCAGTTGTGATGGTGTACTCACCTCAGTCTTAACTCACTCAAAATCCATCTCTTCTGCCATTTGCAGATAAATCTTCCTCTTGGCCTCTTTTTCCAACTGAAGGCATCACCTCAAAGGGATCTCTGACTCTTCCCTCTTCCCCAATAAACAAATCCTAAAAAATGTACCATTTCTCCCATCCTTTTTATTTCCAGGACCACTATTCTGATTCAGGTATTTGTTAATTCCAATCTGAATTATCAGAAAAGCCAGATGACCTGTCTCCCCATTACTAATCATTTTGACTTAACCTCTGTAGTTAATGAACTGCCTTAGTTCAGCCTGTTGGTATCTCCTGAAGCTGAACATACGCATATTCTATGACCCAGCAACTTCACAACCAGAGGTACAGCCAACAGAAATGCATACATATGTCTACTAAAAGGCATGTGCTAGAATGCGTATTGCAGCACTATTGGAAATAAGTGAATAGGATGGATAAGTGAATTGTGGTGGAGTCACCCAGAGTAATCTATATACAGCAGTAAGAATGAATGTTTTGTGACTCATCCAAAATATACAAGAATCTCACAATGTTGAGCAAAAGAAGCCAGATACAAAAGAATGCAAACTGCATGGTTCCATTTACATAAAGTTCAAAACTAGGCAAACAAAATCTATGGTGTAAGAGGCCAGAATAGTGTTACCCTTTGGTGGGGGCATGCCTGGCTTCTGGGGTGGTGGTAGGGTTCTAGTTCTTCATCTAGGTGCTGGTCCCATGGGTGTGTTCAGTTTGTGAAAATTCATTGAGCTGCACGTTTACAATGTTAATATAAAAAATTTAAAAATGTGTATACCGGGGCTGGCCCCGTGGCCGAGTGGTTGGGTTCGCGCGCTCCGCTGCAGGTGGCCCATTGTTTCCTTGGTTCGAGTCCTGGGCGTGGACATGGCACTGCTCATCAGGCCACGCTGAGGCAGCGTCCCACATGCCACAACTAGGGGGACCCACAGTAAAGAATGTGCAACTATGTACTGGGGGCCTTTGGGGAGAAAGAATGAAGTCTTTGAAAAAAGGAGGGAAAAAAAAGAAAAAAAAAGAAAGAAAAAAAACCTTAAAAAAATAAAAATGTGTATATTTTCATAATATTTCTAATAGTACTATGCCCTTGCTAAAAAATTGTTAATGCCTGTGTAATAAGTAAGTGTAAGCTTTGCCAGCCTGGCACTCAAAGCCTCTCTATGTATATGTCCAGGTTCCTTTTGCATCCTGCTAAGTATTCTCTGGAAAATGCCCAATGCTTCCTCCTTTGTGGCCCTGCCCAAGCTGTCTGCTGCCAGGAGTGCCTGCTCCCCATCTGTCTGCTCCATCCTTCCTCTCCTTCAAGGCCCATCCTTGTGCTCTCTCCACCATGTCGCCTTTCCTGGTGCTCTCAAATGGATGAGACTTCTCCCTCATTTCAACCCCCAGAGCGTTTTGATTTTTTGAAATTGTCTTATTCTACTTTCTTTTGTTTTTGACAAATAAAAATTGTATATATTTAAGGTATACAACTTGATGTGTGTTTTTCAATTGAGATATAAATGACATATAACATTATATTAGTTTCAGGTAATATACATAATTATTTGATATTTGTATATATTGTGAAATGATCACCACAATAAGTCTAGTTAACATCCATCATCACATGTAAACAATTCTTTTTCTTATAATGATAATTTTTACGATCTACTCTCTTAGCAACTTTCAAATATACAATACAGTATTGTTAACTACAGTCACTACGCTGTACATTACATCCCCAGGACTTATTAACTTTATAACTGTAAGTTTATACCTTTTGACCCGCTAGACAAATTTCACCCACTCCCTCACCCCCCACCACTGGTAACTATCCATCTGTTTTCTCTCTGTTTTATTCTGCTCTGGATAATAGTGACTTTGATATATACTTTGCTTTCTCCTGTAAACCATCAGTCCTCTGTGTGTTCTTGGAAAGCTCTAACACAAGCCCACAAATGTTCAGCAATATGTTTTGAATTAGTTACTTTGCTTTTCTCAGTTATTCCTCCCTTAGGACATTGGCTTCCGGAGGCTGATCATTAGGAGCTTCTCCCCTAAGTGTGTGAAGTTGTTGTAAATTAGATTCAACATTTTTACCTTTTCTCTATGTTGATCTCAATTTCATAGGGATGATTTTTTTTTAAAACTTTAATTAGAATATAATGACTAAAATATAATTATTTTGAATAAATCCTGGGTATATCTTTAATTCATAAATATGTCACAAGATATCTCTATGATAAGAATCCTTTTAAAAAATATAACCATAAACCACTATTATGCCTAAAAATTAATCAATCATAGGAGTGATTTTTAAGGAAAATTATTTTAAGCTTGTTTGTCTATTACTCATGTCAGGAGAAGATAAAGGGCAGAAGCTATGAGCCTTCTTCCTATCACTAGTATCAGTAGTCTTCTGGAAGAGACTGAATGAACAAGGTAAATTAGGATGGTTCTCTTTTTTCCCCCCCAACAATGTATTAAAACTTAACATTTAATAGGAGAACTATCTGCTGGATTAAAAAACCATTTTTCCATTCATCAGTTCTATTGGCAATCACACTCTGGGTCAGTGCAACTGCTTGGGTAGCCCACAGGCATGCCTCACATTTTAGAGGCAAAGGAACCATGGTGGCCTCTTATCTCACCCATAACTTCACCACCCCATATATGGAGGGAGTCAGTGTGGAGAAGATACCAACAAAGCAAAAGTTCAAAGCAACCTCTGTGTGACGGTGAACACGTTGAGATAGTCCTCCTAAGGGAGAGACTACTGATGCCAACATGATTTAGTGACCTGAGTTTGCCTGACTGCAAAGAGCAGACCAACACTCAGAGCTCAAGTCAGGGAAAATTTACCTCCTTCATAATAGAATGAAATGCACTGGGTTGATAAATAGTTATTCTTATGTAAGATATTTCTGGCATCTTTTACTTAAACATGTTTATTTTAAAATATCCGATTTGTTCAGTATTTTTAAATGAAGGATCCATTGCTTAATGGCTAATCATTAATGACTAATCTTTATTTTTTTAATGAAACATTTCTTTGATAGTATATTTAACATCCAATTTTATAGGTCATAGAAATTATTTTTCAGATATTAGGGACTGGAACCAAAAAATATAATGCCTTGAATAATGTTGAGATGACTATTCTAACACATTAAATACCACTCCTGAGTAATTTAGAGTAACAGTATCGTCATCCTCTGTTTCAACCATTAGTCTGTGAGAACTGATTAAATGGAAAAATCCAGTTGCTGGGGGAGCATGAGAGTAATTAACAGTGATACAGATCAGTAAGACTAAAACATGACAGAGAAGCCATCCAACAGGACAATACAATTTCCAGGTCTCAGATTGAAATTAATCATTTAAAGGCACAAAGATAATCAAACATATTGATGGTGTCAGATAACTTCACACTTTTTTGGGGACAAACTGTATAGGATGGATAATTTTGTGTCTGCATGATAACCTAAAAAAGAACCACGTAGTCACATTTATATAAGACACTATTCACTGGTTTTTAGTCTTATAAAAATTGTAATTATATGGACTTTCAGAAGATAAAGCATGTTAGTTAGATTTTCAAACTAGCATATAGGTTGTTAGATTTTCAACCTCTTGTGCTATATTTTACAAAGCCACGACAATATTTTATTCAAGGTTATGCCCTGGGGAACTGAGAACACGACTATGTATCAGAGAATAGAACAGAGACTCACCATGCTGTCCAGCTGTATCCAGTGAACCTCATTACTGGAGCTGATTCGGGACTGTTGGGTCTGCAGAGTGTATGGAAAGGAGCTAACCTGAAGCACCAGGAGGTTGAAAGCTTCCAGAACTTCTCTGCAATTAATGACTCTATCAGCCAATCCATGACTGGGTTCACCAAGTGACAAAGAGCCCGAAATAACACTGTAGAAATATTGAAAGTCACATTAAAACCTCCTAATTTAACTGATTAGATGCAGAATTGGCATCAAAATGGAGAAAATGTCTTAGCTCGTATTTTTCTAGTTCTTCTTAATTGGGAGCAGGAGCAGAAGCAACCAACACTTGATTTGGAAGAGCAAAAATTACACACTCCTTCTTACCCCTTTCAGACAGATTTCAGTGATATTTTTTTTTCCTTTTTCAGTTTGCCCCTGATATACCTCAAAGTGTAACTCAGTTATCCTGGCCAAGGATGTCTAAATCTGTAGTTGAGATGGATCACTTCAGTTTGAAAGCTCACCTGAACGAGGGAGCTTCTCTATCAAAACGTGATGCTTATAACTGTGCAATGATCTGTACCCTAAAGAGACACCAAAGCTGCAAGGGATCCCTGTTGTGTTAATACCACTCTCCTCCCTCCCTTGAGGCTGCTAGACTGTGGGGAGGGCTCCTCCTACTGCCTCCCCGTGACCAACATTTTCATATCTCTGAAGCATTTTCAGTTCTGTTCAATTTGGATGTACCAGGTTGCCATGCAGCCTCAAAACCAATTTTTTTTTTTTTTTTTTCTCAAAGAAATAATCTCGATGCCCTGGGGAACTAAACAGAGAGAGATACAATCAGGAATCCTCCGAGCTACTACCCCAGACTTTCAAAGATGAGGTATTCAAGGTCAGTGAGCTCTTTCTGCCCATAGAACACTAGCAGTAACTGAACAGGATGTGGGCAAAATTCTTCCCTTCTTTCCTTCCTTCCTTCTTTCTATCCTTCCTTCCTTCTTTCTTTCTTTCCTTCGTTCCTTCCCTCCTTCCTTCTTTCTTTCCTTACTTCCTTCCTTCCCTTCCTCCCTTCTTCCCCCCTTCCTTCTAAATCTAATAAGTTATGCAAGATCTTCTTTATACCTACGTACGGCTCAGATTGTGGAATACCAAACACATTCTGGCTTCTGAATAAGCACTTTTGCAATTCTGACATTTCGACCACAGATCAAAAAAATTCCAGATTCCTAAGCTCAGTGTGTCCTTAAGAAAAGGAAATCTATAAATGCTTGATGATGCCTGAAATTTCCCTCCCCCTTCATGGTGAGGAGAAACCATGATATGCAATATGCGATGAGAATTTGCCCCCTTTAAAAAAAATTATTTGCCTTTTTAATCCATAAGAGCAAAGATACCCACTACCAGATAATTACTATCATTGGTCTGGCTCCATCATGCCACATTTACTTTCTTTCATTAATAAGCCCACCAAGAGATAGGATATTCTTTTGCTTAAACTGGTAAATTGTGGAAGGTTTCAGAGCTACTGTCAGGTCATTAAAGTGGCATCTCCACTGCTGTTAAAGGTAAGAGGGAGCAGAGAAAGGCAAGAAAGAGGGGAACTAGCAGAAGAGGAAGGAAGAAAAGAGAAAAAGAAAAAAGGAAAAGAATGGGGAGTAGTAAGAAGGAAAGCATGTGGCCCTTCTGGGAGCTCAGTAACGTCCACCTCCTACTACCACTCTTTCTCTGAAGCTGTTGAGTTCCACAATGCTCTTAAGACCGTATTTTTAACAGGAATTTGTAAAGTCACCTCAGTAAGGTTAAAATAAGAGCAACATTAAATTGGTAAAAGTTGAAGAGGAAGGAAAGAGTAGGAGTAAGTTACCAAGAAGAAGATACCAAATGTTAAGGGTTCTTGGGCTTTCAAATCATCACCTTTGAAATGATTTATTACGTAACAATTACTGCTGCAGAAGAAATATTGTATTTGCTCACTCTGAAGCAATCACCTCGTTAGTTCCACATGGGAGTTGTCATGAACCAGCACAAACAGTGTGTATGGGTTCTGTTTCACCCTCCGCATAAAAACTTCAAACTTGGTTTGAATCTCATTATCTAGACGAACAACATATTTCTCTGCTCTCTGATAAGCTGTCCCATTTTCCTCCAGACCCAAGTCTACAAGGACACCTGCCAAGAAGAAAAAAGAGTTTGTCTTTTTACATACATATATATAAACGAGATAAACTTAAGTTCAGTGTCAACTGATATACTGGGTACTAACCATATATAGAGATTTACAACGCAGCTATTTTTCCTTTTTCATGTTCCCCACCAGAATTTCGAGGAGGAAATATCCGATTTCCTGTTCTTTAGAACACCCCCCCCACCTCCCCCACCTCCCCCAAATGACAACAGGGAACAGTCTGAGAAGCAGTTAAATGTATGAGACCTCTGTTTAATTAAGTTCTATTTATGTGAAGTGCTGCTAACTGCTACTGCAGGCCACTCGGAAAAAAATGAAAGTTTGGGCTACAGCTTTCGGCCAAATTAATATAATCACATAAGCCTTCCTTACCGCAAATTTAGCAACAAAACATGTAAGAAAAAGGAAAATAAAATGTGATGTCCAAAGATACTAAAGCTAGAGCTTTTTTAGGTAGTATTTTACTCATTTTTATACAGTGACAGTTTTGCACAGTATCTAGAGTGTGGGAAGCCCTCAACGAATGTTGGATTATGTACCAAATTAATAAAATGAACTGAATTACCCAAGATTATTCTCTCTATATTCTCAAAATGTTAGAAACTATGAAACTTTAGTACTGTATCATTATCTGTCTACAATAAAGTTGTTTGTACATAAAAACATCTAAAATAGTTCTAGGCACACGAAGCTGTTGTTGGGATAATTAATTAAAATACCAAATACATCTTTAAAATGAAGAGACAAAATGGTAATTATGTGAGGCGAAAGATGTGTTAATTAACTTTATGTTGTAAACATTTTGCAATGTATACACATATTAAATCATCACACTGCACACCTTAAACTTATGCAATGTTATATGTCAATTATATCTCAATAAAGCTGGAAAAAATCCAAAACACAAGGGCACAGGAGCACGCCCCCCCCCCCCCCCACTCCAGACACTTAGCTGCACAGAGGGAGGGCTAAGGCCCCTGAGAAGAAAGCCTTGTGACTCAAGCCCGTGGACCTCCAAGCAGAAGGAACCAGAAGACTGATTTGGGGGTTAGATATGTTACAGAGTCCTTGAGGACCAGCCTGGACTCCAAAGGCTGAAGGATATCTATTTAGCATCCATTACCAGCCCAACTCACCGGCCCCAACTATGTGAAAAAAAAAGTAAAATTAAAAAATAAATTAATAAAAAGTAAAATGAAGAGAGCTTTATGAATCATGTTGATTTAGTTTTATCTAGCTTTTCTTTTCACATAAAATCAACTCAATTAACAACTACACGCAATTAGCATCTAGATGCTGTAATAGTAATAGCTCTAAATGGTATAAAAGAAAAAGGAAAAATGTTTTGCCATCAGAAAAATTCACTATACCAGAAAAGGTAAACAGAAAAGTAATTTTGCTTTTAAACATTTTTCATTAGGAGCCTTTACTCAGAGACTTTTTTCAATTTCCACCCAAATGTAATCAAATGTTGTGAATATTTCGAAAGGCAATCAATCAAACATTTAACTTGGCAGGTATTCTGATTTTTTTGGAAAGTGAATTGCTTGTAAAATTCATTCAACATTCGACAGTGATGGATTGAGCATCTGCTGTGTAGCAGGTACTATGTCAGGTATTGTGCTAGGCCTGGGGACACACAGGAGAACAGGACAAAGATCTTAATCTCCTGAGGCTCATGATGAGGAAGATGGATAATTCTGGCGAGTGTCATGATGGGAGAAAAGTACTATGGGGTAGAGAGGGTGAGCAGAGGCATAGAGGGAGGACCCACTTAATCTCTGGGGTTTCTGTTTCCTTATCTGTACAATGGGGAGAGTAGAACCAGTTGAAATTTAGTCTATATTTCCTAAGTTTATCCTTAGGAAATATGCAGTGTGAGTTAAGGGCATCCTAATATAAAAAGACTATAAATAATTCATAAAGAAGAAAAAGATATATCTTATGGAAAATTAAGAGTTGACCACATTTCAAAACAGATGAAATAAAGACTGATTGTATGCGTTGGACAGGTTAATTCCATATATGCCCTTAATGGGAAGACAAAGTTCCATGAATCTAAGAGGTGGTTCTCTTAGATATAACATGGTATATTAGTCCATAACTATGCAGCCAGCTGCCTCTGCAGTGGTGAATTTGGGTGGGGAGCTGGCACGTCAGAGGTACTTGATTGTTTTATTTCTAACTGGGCATTTATAGTAGGTCATCCTTACCTTTAAATTTTGTTTTAGACTTGCTTTTATTTTTAAGTTTTGTTTCTTTCCTGGTTATGAAAGTGATAGATACTCATCTTGGAAAAACTGGAAAGTATAGAGATATATTAAAAAAGAAAAATTATCCGTAGTTCTTTAACTCAAAATAAGCCACTGCAAACATTTTTGTGCATTCCTTCCTGTCTTTTTTCTATGCATGTTGTGCTACCTAGCTCACATTTTATAATTGTATATGCTGATTTTTTCACTTATAATTGTAAAGTAAGAAACAAAACTATCATTATTTACTAATAACTTGTCTGTGTAGAAAACACAAAATAATCCACAGATAAATCAATTAAATTAATAAGAATTTAGTTAAGTTGATGGATTCAAAATCAATTTGTAAAAATTAGCTGCATTTCTATATACCAGCTGAAAACAGTTAAGAAGTGTGTTTTTAAAAAAATTTACAATAACATTAAAAAAAATTAAGCACCTAGGAGTAAGTCTTATAAAAAGTATATAAGACCTTCATGGAGAAAATGATGAAACTGTTAATGACATTAAATAGAGCTATATTATAAAATATAGTTAAAACTAAATTCTTTTCAAATTTATTTAGAGATTCAATGTAATTCCAATAAAAATTCTAATAGTTGTTTTTTTAGCTTGAAAAATTGTGTAAAAAATTTACATGTCAGAGCAAAGGACCAAGAATAGTCAAGACAGTCCTGAAGAAGAAAAGGTGGTAGGGATTTGCCTTGCCAGAGACTAAGAATTATAGAGGTGTATTAATAAGATGGAGCAGTTTTGGCACATGGGTAGACCCTAGAAACAGACTCCCACACATATAGAAACTTGATTTATTATGATAAAGCTCACATGGCAGATCAGTGGCAAAAGTAGGGGCTCTTCAGTAATTGGTGCTGAAGAACCAAGAAATTATATTGGACTTACCTGATACACAAGAAATTCAGGTGGAGTAAAACTTTAATGCAAAAGACAGACTAAGACTTTTAGAAGACAATATAGGAGAATAATTGTATGACCTCATAGAGGACTTCTTATGTACAAAAAGCCAAAGGATAAATTAAACTTAAAACTTATATTCATCAAAGACATTATAAATAAAAAGACAAGCTTCCCAAATCTGTAAAAAATATTACTAATGAAGGATAAGTATTCAGAATACATTAATTACTCCTACAAATCCAAGAGAAAATGGGCAAAAAACTTTAATAGGCATGTCCCAGAAGAAGAAACCCAGATGGCCAAGAAACATTGGAAAAGATGTTCGACCTCATTAATAATAAGGAAAATACAAATTAAAACCACAACAGAATGGAATCATAGCAAATTAATAAAAATTAAACAAGATAATTGTAAGAAAGAAGTGGATGGAAAAAAACCCTATGTATCTCCTCATTTCTGCAAAACAAATTCAAGAAGCATAAACCAGAAACTAAAGAGATTGGTTGCCAATGGCGGGGTTGGGGTGAGTGGAAAAAAGGTGGAAAGAAGGGGAGAATGGGAACAGGGTAAGTATGAGGAGGGAGAGACAAGTCTCTGAATATACCATTTTGTATAGCCTTTGCTCTTAGAACCACAGCAACAAACAAAATCAACCAAGAATGGAGTGGGGGGCGGGGGAGGAACGCAAAATACAGTCCAAACAGTAACAGATGAAACCTAACATAACCACACTGATGGGGATGAGGATGAAAAGAACAAACCCAAGTAAAATCAGTGTCTTGGCTGGATACTATAAGGCTAAAGACAAAAAGAACTGTACACAAAAATATGAGTTAGCAAATCAGCTTCTCACAGGGGGATGGGTTAGTAATTGCGTAATTTCTAGAAAAAAATAAAAGAAGTGAATAGAGTATAAATAATGAGAACCAAGTTTCTCCTTATCAGAGAAAGAAGTTACGAAAAAAGAAAGGAGAAAGACTAAAATGAACCTTGTGGTGTAAATACGGAATTGGAGGTATCAATGTGAACTCATTTTTTTTTGAGGAAGATTAGCCCTGAGCTAACATCTGCTGCCAATCCTCCTCTTTTTGCTGAGGAAGATTGGCCCTGAGCTAACATCTGTGCCCATCTTCCTTTACTTTTTATTTGGAATGCCTGCCACAGCGCGGCTTGATAAGCAGTGCGTAGGTCCACGCCTGGGATCTGAACTGGCAAACCACAGGGCTACTGAAACGGAGTATATGAACTTAACTGCTATGCCACCAGGCTGGCCCCTGAACTCATATTTTTAAGAATAGATAGATATATAAATAAACAGGTGTGTGTGTACATGTGTGCATGGGTTAATATACATACATATATTTCTTATGTCTGTCTGCTGAGTAAGTCTAGGAGCAATGACACCCAGTAACAATAAGCACACTTAGCACCCAGATTTTGGTTTCTAAATACCATTCTTGGGGCCGGCCCTGTGCCCAAGTGGTTAAGTTTGTTTGCTCTGCTTTGGCGGCCCAGGGTTTTGCTGGTTCAGATCCTGAAGGTAGCGTTCCACATGCCACAACTAGAAGGACCCACAACTAAAAGATACAACTATGTACTGGGGGGATTTGGGGAGAAAAAGAAAAAAAAAAACAGTTGTTAGCTCAGGTGCCAATCTTTAAAAAAAAAAAGAATCATTAAAAAATAAAATAAATAAATACCATTCTTCAATAAAAGGACTAAGGGTTCACTGGAGAAGAGGTTAATTCAAAGTTTGGGGTGGAGAAATTAAAAATAACTCTGGAATGTCTTGTGGTTCTAGAAAATAAGGAAATACA